CGCTCGCTTGTTTCAACCCTTATGCGTGTATGTGTGTGTGGGGTTTTGTTTTCTCTCTGAAGACGGTGACCAAAACTCAACCGCCTCCACCAAGCAATTCTGGAAGCATTGACTGATCTGCTCATAAAAAGTCCGCGCCTTAACCCTTTGAATAATGAATTTGCTTTGCAGCTTTCCAAGCGTGTTCCGAGCTGCATAAGTTGTGCGCTGCAAAGTGCTGACACAGAACGTTAGTTATTGCAGAACACAACCCAGGAAAGATTGCCTCTTTGCAATATTTCAGTGATACGATTTTTCAATCTTGTGGGAGGGAGGCAGAGAGAGAGCGAGAGAGAGAGGGGGGGGCGCGAGGAAGGATGGGGGGTGGGGAGAGAGAGGCAGAAAGTGAGAGAGAGGGAGTTGGGGGAAGCTTCATGTGTAAGGGGTTTATTGCTAGGTGTTTGATGCAGAGACGTTCAGAGCTTTTACAGGCTGCATATTGAACATTAGAAGCATTTGCGAACCTTAATCAATTCACTAATGCCATTCCACATTACAAGCTGTTTGGGAATTTAACAGACAATTGTATTTGCGGATGTGGTACGCGATGAGAAGATTTATCTGTGGAGTTGGAATTGTGGCTCTATGCAACAAGAGTTAGTCATAGACCGTATCCTTGCCTGGACTCCTTTGGTGGTTGGGTGGGGAGGGGGGCATGAAATACAGTATTAAAAATTGCCGGAGCTTCAATAATCAAAGGACAAGTCACGTACTGTTTGAATTGAAGCTAAGCTGAGCTCATGAACCTCTTTGTGAATGTGATGGAGCTTTGATAATGCGCCGGGTCCCCAGTGACAGAAAGAAAGATTCCCCCTCTTAGTCAGGTATTGTGTGCAGTTTGTCAGTACCATTAGTTACTACTCTGGCTTTGTTCCGGGAACAGAACATTAATTTAACGCCCGCCTCCACTCCAATTTTTACATTTGTGAATCCGGGATCTCGAGAGATTATTCTTCCTGGCTCCGCGAGCACGTGCATGCCTTGTAAGATACCTGACGGAGAGGGTTTTCCTCCGGTTGGGACGTTTGTGACCTGTTTGAAAGCGACACGGAAGTTAGCACGCAACAACGACATCAACTCGCATTTATATAGCGCCCTTCAACACGGAGCGCTCACCCTAACCTCCCTCTCCTTGCTGGTGGCAAGCAGTGGGTTGCTTCTATGGATAAAAAGCGGAGCTGATATGTATGCTCTGGTGAGGGCGCACGTCCAAAACAACGGCACGATAGACAAGATGCTGGGCCATCTTCTCCGACCACCGCCCACAACAACTTGCACTTATATAGCACCCCTCACGCAGGGTAGAAGAGAAGCGTTCCACTGGTGGGCCAGCCCGTTGCTAGACGACATGACCTTTACAGTTGGGACCGAAACGGTTTAGGAGCGAAGTTACATTGCCTCCCGCTTGCGGAGAGCGACGGGAAGTTTGCACTCTCTGCCCCCCCCCATCCCCCCACCCCCGGAAAAAAAAAATGCACGAGGAGAATCCAGTGAAGGATCCAAAGGCAGAGCCGGACGGTCGGGTGGATACCCGGGAAGTAGAATCCTGAAGAATAGGACGAAAGGTTGGAAAAGTGGCAATTGAGGATGTAGGTACACGGAGCCCAGGGCACTATCTCATAGGTTTGCATTGCTGCGACATGGTGTTTCGGATACTGTGGCACTTAATAATCCTTGCGTTTGATGCATCTCACGTCGTTGAGACATCTCCGAGCGCTTCACAGAATATACTGCAAAGTGAATTGACTGTGGGCCACGCGTGGCGGTCGACGGCGTGCAGCAGCGTCCCACAAACGGTCGCGGATTGAGTGACCGAGTTATAATTATTTTTTTTTGCGCTCGTGCGCGTACGTTCCTAATTATAACAAGCGCGGCAGGAGATCACGCGATGGGACCTCATTGCTGGTGGTGCTTCCGTTTGCTTCAGTCTCCGGGGTTTGAAGGGGGAAAGGGAGTAGGATCAGGCTCCAGTTTATACACAGAATATACCGTGTATATTGTACTAACCGTGTAGCCCGGTGTTGGCTTGGAGCGGGAGGTGGGGAGAGGGGGGAGAACAATAGAATACCACATCCAAGGTGCACTCAACCTGACAGACAGGAGCAGAACCCACCAGAGGGCACTGCGGTAATCTCTGGCACAGCAGGCACTTCCTTCTCTTACCATTTAATCTTGAACAAGGGAAGAAGCCAGACTCTGCGTTAAGAGCAATCACTGGGTTTACTTTCTCCCCACCCACCCGCGCCCCCACCACACACACAAGCGCACCCCTCCCTCTCCATCCTTAGGGCCCCAAGCTTTTTGACCTCGGCTTTCTCAGCCGGCCACCCCTTTTTGGAGCCGTGTTTGGCGGCTGAAGTTACTCTCGGCTGTTCAAATAAACAAACACACAAAAAGAAGTCGCGTCGCAGAGCTCCGCGCTGAGGTTGCAGTCTGGAACCGTTCAAATAACCATGGCAACCCCAATTCCAGTTCCAATTGCAAGGCCGTTTGGTCTTTGAGGGTAGGAAGAGACCCTTGGTTGCACGCGGGGCTGAAAGGGTTTGGATATGAGTGGTTTGGCAGCGTTCCTGAGGTCCCTGGGCATGTAACATAATACTTGTTGATGGCTTATCAGCAGACACCAGGGTAGCAGTGTTGTACACTCCCACAAGCGAACGGCTTGATGATTGTTGAGCTGCTATTATTATTCAGCCTCACTCCCTCCCTCCCTCGCTCGCACACAGTGCCAAACCCCCAACATTCTTCCCCGCTGGACGTCAACTCCCTTCAGCTCCAGCTCACGAGCAGAGGGAAGGGCGGGAACAAGTTTCAAACACATGACCCATCGCCACTGACTACCTCCTTTACTTCCGACTCGAACAGTTTCCACGCCCTGGAAAGAAGGAAAATAAACAAGCAAAAGACCCCACCCCACCCGGCTGCATCACCCCTGGTGTTTTTATTTTGGTCAGTCAGGTGTCTGCCACGTGCCGAAACCCATTACTGTGCTTAAGAGTATCCAAACCAAGCGGAGCATTCCATGGCTTCCACCTACACATGGAGATCCCAGAGGTAGAATGGATGTTGGAATGGAATGTGCTCTCTCTCTCTCTCTCTCTGCCCGGAGCGACGCATCCTGCTTACCTAATTCCAGAGAGTATTAGGTGCAGGTTGGCAAGAGCCAGGACTTGAGGGGGAGCCCAGAGTGTGCTTTGAGGGTAACTGCTGGAGTCCAATCGGCTAATAGCCCACAGCTTGCCCATTGCGAGGTCAGACCTCACATTCTAAATGTTCGCTGTCCATGGTCACATTTCAGCAAACGCACAGACGTGATGGGCTGTTTGGCCCTATTTCCCTCACGGTATCATTCTGTGACTTGTCAGCCAATGCTGTTTCGTTAACGCTGGATACCACAGCGCTTTGTTGTCGTAGGCAAGCGATTATTGAAATAAAAATGAGCAAAAGCAAGCTTTTAGGTATGAAACTTCTCTTAAACAAGCCATAGTACCCACCGAGGGAAGATCATATCAACGAGTATATCTGAGTGTCAATAATAGATGCCTCCAGCTTTTTTCCTCAGTGTTTGTTTGCACAGCCTAATGTTACTGCCTTGTGTAACACAGTGATTGTTATCATAATATCTGTACAATGTAGGTACAAAGGTAAATATTGACGTGACGGTGAGTTGTAAGGGAGTGTTACAAGAAGGATTTCTTATTGGGTGCGGGAAAGAGCACCGTGAGCTTTCTAGTTTAAATATTAAAGTGTGTGAATCGAAAATTAAGGCACTATATCAAATGCGAGTTTATTATCATTATTATTATTATTATTCTCTTCATATTTGATATCTCGCCTTACCATGTCAAGGAGTCCTGTAGCTACAGTGGTTAGAGCGCTCGCCTCACAAGCGAGAGACTTGGTTCGATTCCCGGCAGGTGAAACCTTGGGCAAGTTTCCTTACTCCACACGCCTGATAATAATAATAATAATAATAATCCTTGCATTTGATATAGCGCTTTTCACGTCGGGAGGACGTCCCAAAGCGCTTCACAGAACACACTGTAAAGTGAATTGACTGTATATTTGTGGGTGAACGCGGCAGCCAATTGCGCACAGCAATGTCCCACAAACAGACGTAGATTGAAAATGACCAATTTATTATTGTTTTTGGTTTTGGAGGGATTATTATTAGGCTCTGTGTGGAGTAAGGAAACTTGCCCAAGGTTTCGCCCTCTGCCTGGAATTGAACTCAGGTCTCTCACTTGCAAAGCGAGTGCTCTAACCACTGAGCTACAGGACTCCACTGTAATCCCTCAAGAAAAAAACAGTAAAAATTGGTCACTTCAATCCACGACTGTTTGTGGGGACGCCGCTGTGCACAATTGGCTGCCGCGTTTCACCCACAAATATACAGTCAGTTCACTTTACAGTATATGCTGTGAAGCGCTTTGAGACATCGAAAAAAGATGTGAAAAGCGCTATATCAAATACAAGGATTATTTTTGTTGTTGTCGTTGAGATGTCTCGAAGCGCCTCACAGGATTTCACTGTGAAGTGTAGTGACTGTGGTTGTGTATTTTGTAGGCAGCCGCTCTTTGCACACAGCAAATGTTCCACAAACAGCCATGAAGTGCATGAGCAATTTTATTTTATCTGGGGGATTTTTGAGTCGTGCCACAGGATCTTTAACGTCCACCTGAGCAAGCAGATGGGACCTCAGTTTAACGTCTCTTCCAAAGGATGGCACCTCCGACCATACCGAGCTTCACTGGGGGAGGTGTGGGAGCAGGAGGGGTGACCCTTTGACAGTCAATTAAATAGTTTAGTTAAAATAATCCATCCTTGATCCATCTTAGACCATAAACAGAATTGGTCCTTATGTAAACCACCTTGAAGTAACTTTGACAGCTGTGTTGAGAATTCAGACTTGAACAAACATACTAAAACTCTCTCTCTCTGTGTCTTTCTTTATTCCTTAGGAATGTCTTGAACAAGAGGAGCAATGTCACAGCTAAAGGTAGGTGTCTATGGCCTCTCAGCCACACCTCTGCTTCCACATTTAGTGCTTTAGTGAGAGTTGCCGTGACATTGGTAAACAAATGAAACCCCACCTTTAGCAGTTGTTTGTTCAGATGCACAATAAGTTTAGGCTCTTTACAGACTGAGAAACTGTTATGAAGTTACAAACCAAACTATCCACTAGGTCTCAGTTTTCACAGATATTATTATTATTATATTTCTGCTTGACATCTGAGGGTAAATAGACACAAATATGTACTTAACGACAGACCACACTCAATTGACCTTGCTGCTTAAGTTGTTCAATTGGGTTCCTTAAAGCCACCACAAGTAGTAAAACTGCAGTCACCTCCGAGGGATGCGAGTATATTTAATTCTATCCTGCCTTACTTTGTTAGGCTTCCGACACCTTTGCATCGGTAAACACTGTAAGTCTGACACCAAATATCAGAGCCGATGCCAAAATACATATCAAGTCAGAAAGTTGTGTGACTTTATTCCAGATGTTTTCAATGTTAATGCCTTATTCAAATTTTAAAAAAATAATAAAGCATTAACTTTTATTATATTGATCAATGAAATTTGGACTGAAAATAGTATTTATTAACACAAAATACACAGTATACAATATATTCTATGAAGCAATTTGAGACATTTCAACGACGTGATAAGGTGCAATATCAAATACAAGGGTAATTATTATTATTATTTGTTCAAGGAGGCACGTTTTTAAACCAGTTACATTATTATTTGACTTGAGAGCTCTCTATATATATATATATATAAAATGTAAGGATTATTATATATCATCTATTATTAGATGTCTCCTGTTTGGGAGAGAGGGAGAGAGTCTTATTTCAGATGCATTTTCCCATCTCTCCAGTCCATAAAGATAATTAAATCTATAAATAATGGAAACATTAGCTTTGAAAGATGTACAAGTGGCGTAAAAATGAAATACTTCGGCTTTTGGGCCCTTCTCCCCATCGCGGGAAAGCGATTGAGCGAGAGGAGAGAGTGCGATCGGTGAATCAATGTATCATAGACCCAGGACGTCTGATCGTTGCCGAATTTCCAATTTACCACCAGTCGTGTCTGCTTTTAGTTGATCAGCGCATTAATCAAAGCTACCCAACAAACGAGAGGCAAAACAGAAAGCAACTGCGACAGAATGCGAGATGGTGATTGGATAAATTGGGCATCGCACTTCAGCATTTAAAGCAATGAAGCATCCATTGGCATCCCACTCGAGCGTTTTAAATGAAATTTTAAATGAAATGGACCGTTGTTTTCGCTCAATGAAACGTAGACCTAAAATCGTATTGTGCCTTTGAGAGGCCGATGGCTTGGCGTACAACTGCACTCACTGCTTGAGGTTGGCCAGTACAGAGTTGGGCGATCTCATCCATCCCAGCAGTAGGAACGCTGCAATTGCCCTGAGCATTGATGGGAGACAGAGTGACCGAGGTCTTGTTCCGATCCAGTGACTCACGACGCAATGTGCTAATTTGGGTTGGGCACAAGTGGGCATGACCTCCCCCCGACTACCAAAGCCTTCCCATCATGGGATTACTGTTCATGGGACACTGCTGTGTGCAATTGGCTGCCGCGGTTCGCCCAGAAAATACACAGTCAATCCAATTCGCAATATATTCTGTGAAGCGCTTTGAGACGTCTGAACGACGTGCTAAGGGGCTATATCGAATGCAACGATTATTTACTACCTGCAGATAATCCCAGACACAAATTCCCATCACCTCCATGGAAACATTTCAAGTAAAGAATCCAATTTGGGCGAATTCCTAAAAACGTATTTTGTATTAAAATATTATTTAATATTAAATATACTTTTATATTAAATACTACGATTCTACTCACTCCTCTCTCCTTCCACCCACCCAGAACCTCTCCCAACACAAACCTATATGAAAAAATCACATCTTCATGAAGGAAGGTTAGATCCAAGTCAATGGAGAAATAATCATCTTGGAAATTTAGGAGCAACGTGACACTTGGTGATGAATTAAAGTAACTTACAACTTTTAATTGCAGCTTTGCAAAGAGAATGCAATAGGTGATTTGTCCTTCACTTCCGATCTCTGTGTTTTGATCTCTCCACCTTCTGTTAGTAGTATCCATGCTCATGTAATACACAGTCACAGACGCACGATCAATTCACGTTACAGTGTATTCTGTGAAGCATTTTGAAACGCCTCGAAGACATGAAAAGGCGTTAAATCAAATGTAAGGATTATTATTATTATTATTTCCCAAGTTTGAAGACTATCCACTGATATCAGCCGAGCTGGTGACTTTTAAAGTCTCTCGCTAGTTTGGCCTCGAGCTAAGATAAGATAAGGCCGGTGACACTTCAGTAAGCTTGCCTGCTACCGGCTGGCAGATTTCTTTCTGCTCTTGACTTGAACCCCTGAACGGAGCACGTCTCTCTGGCAGGACACTGCAGTTTTCTTCCCTCCGGGGAGAGCAAAAGGCTGAGAAAAGGTCTGGAATGCTAACCTCATTCAGCTTGCACTGCTGGAGTTGCCCCCCAGAGCGGCATTGACGATGGAATGAGGACCAGCTCTTGGCCTTTTTTTGCTTGGCATTGTTGAATTGCGTTGGGTCAGTCACAGCCCAGTTTCCCACCGGGGATGAGTCTGCAGCTGAAAAAGTCAGCACAGATAACAATAACGTGGAAAGCTCCCATCCGAGAGCTCGGTGACTCAGCCGCAGGTTTCAGACATGGAGAGTTACACAGGAGCAGCAGAGAGTTTGCTTCTGAGGCGAGAGTTGTTGGGAGCAGATCGATGGAAGTTCCTCTTCTCCCATTTGACCTGAGCTGTACCCAAACTGGGCACGCTTGAGGCCCGGGCAATTTATAAGCCTGAGTGAGAGCTGGTGTGGACTGAATGGGTTGAACAACCTCTCACTGAGCTGTTAATTTCTATGATTCGGTGAAGCAGCATCTCAAGCCTGATAACCAGTGGAGAAGAATTATCAGAAGGTGGAGGGTGCTGTATAACCAGCAGACATCCAGTCAAGTTTCACCCTTATACTCGTTCGATAGCTGCCGTTTATGAAAACCCTGATTCAATCTTTTCCGAACTAATTGCTTGGTGACATGGGCAGTTTTCTCCAGGAATCCGCATAATTTTTTTTCTCGCCTCCTTATCGGATGTGTTGTAATTTGCAAGAAGATAGATACGAAGATCGATACCGTAACTGCCGCCAGTGACCTTGTGCAATGAGGCGTGAGTTTCGGTCCTCGTTTCCACGCGTAATGAGTTCTTGGTTTTGGACCGCCTGTTAAGGAGAGACACTTGAGCGAAGTCTAGGCACCTACCCACAGAGAGAGGGGAGAAATTGGAGGAGACATCATCTGAGCAACTGTCACACGTCCCCCTCTGTGAGCAGGTTATCTGACTGCACTTGTGTCTAGAAAATAACATCCCACGTGGATCGAAATGACACCTAGAGCAGGATAAACAGTGGGAAGCAATTTTTTGTTCAGTCGAGAAAGACTCCAGGTTAAAAAAAAGGTGGCTCCTGTAAGGTTTTCTCGAGACTTCCTCAGGAAGATTTCTGAGGTTCAAGGCTGCCGGAAATACGGCACCAATTCAGACCGTTCCCGTTCGGAATGACTTCAACCCGCTATTCACACAGTCGGCCCATTATGACGTCTCTTAGCACACATTGTGATGTCTGTGCCACTCTCACATTCAGTATACCATCGTCACGTCACGGTGTATTAAAGTAAGAATTTATTTCGCCCACAAATTACACAGTCACTCCACTTTCAGTATATCCTGTGAAGCGCTTTGAGACATCTCAAAGACGTGATAAGGCGCTATATCAAATGCAAGGATTATTATCATGATTATTTTGTGTGCGAGGTAACAGAACAGAAATGCTTTGTTTTGGGAGATCTCTGTTTTTCTCTCCCACTGTAAGTTCTATTTCCTGCCAGCCGGCTCTGACAATCCTTGTTCAACAAACCTCCGCTCATTTGGCCAAGACAGTCTCTTACTTGACTCCTCTGCCTTGCTGTCCATCATTCTGTTGCTTGCAGACATCTTGTCTGTCTCTAGGCTCTTAAAAGCTCTCTGGAGTCTCTGCTGTTTTTTTCACCCCCTTCTCTCCACCTCCATCACCACCCCGCACCCACCCCCCGCACCCCCCCCCCTTCAGAGACTGAAGACGCAAAAATAAAATGAAAGCGAAAGATTCTGAAGGAAATCCTGGGAGAGAAGGAATAGACTGAGAGGATTTTTTTTAATATATATAGTGTGTATCGTGCTCCCCAACAATAGTTCATTTAATATTCCACCCTTTCAACAGGAGTTTTTCTTTAAACCCCTTTCAATTGAATCCTCACACGGGTCTGGCTGGTGTTGTGAGATGACGATTGATGCCTCCGCATTGACGGAGAATGAAGAGAAGAGAAGAAGGAGCTGTGTAGTATCCCCAGTGTGTGGGTGTTTGTCACTGATGCAGATGTCAATGAACATAATAATAGTAATGATCTTTGCATTTGTTGCAGCAATTTTTATCACGTCTTCGAGACGTCTCAAAGCGCTTCATCGAATGTACTGTAACGTGAATCGACTGTATATTTTGCGGGTGAAAAGCAGCAGCCAATTGCGCACAGCAGCGTCCCACAAACAGTCGTGGATCGATTGGCCAAATGTTTTTTTAAGGGATTATTACCCCCAGAAAAGCGATCCGACAATCGACTAACAACCGGGTTCCCGCTTACTGCTCGGTAAACAGAGGCGTGTGGAGTAGGGAAATTTGCCCAGTGTTTCGCCCCGCCGGGAATCGAACCCAGGTCCCCTCGCTTGTGAGGCCAGTGCTCTTAACCACTGAGTTAAAGGACTCCAAAATAATGTCAATCTTCGATGCATAGCAGGGAGGGGACAGAGTGTGCTGACATTGTCCCTTCATGGCACACACCCAGTTGAGTTGCTTTTCTATCAGAGACTTCCCTTTCCCTCGGAGCTATGAGGGTTTCCAGAGCTGGATTCCTTCATGACGGGAGAAGGACACAGCTGCATCGCTTCTGCTCTCGCATGTCGGCCCCTGGGTGGTCCTCAACTGATGTGGTGGGAACTGTGGTTCCATTTTTTTTCGGTCCCTTCAACCTTAAACTATCCCCCAACGTTCCTTAATTCCCAGAGTGTGGTGTGACCCCTGTCTGCCTTCTTTACTAAGAAATGCTTCGGATAACGTGCTTTCTACGCAGAGAAAGATCTGAAGTGAAGGAAAAGGATTATTCACCAAACTCGTAGGGTCTGTCCCGCTCTTTTGTTTCCAGGTTCTTTGTAGTTTCAGTTGACTTGGAATAATTGGTTCAAAGTATAACTAAGGTGATGAACCGCAGCCAAATTACACGTCGCATCAACGGGGAGGACACATTTTCTGTGAGAACATAGTTTCACACCGAATTGGAACAATTTTACACAAGTGAAGCGTGTTTTTCCTGTTGCCTTAGGGGACACACTATTATCGCTAGGCAAGTGTTTGAGAAGGAACAAAACATTTTCACGTACAGCAGTGCCTAATGCAGAAGCATTTGAGTTTGGATCGCTGAACTTATTCAAAAAGGTTCCAAACCAGGCGGGGCAACAGGAGTGAAAGTTACACAGATAGGAATAGGCCGATGTGGTCAAATACTCAACGTGACCCAACGTATTCCCTTATTAATGGGTGGCGAGTAACAAGTTTCCTTACAATTGGGGCTGGGGAGGTGACAGGCTAAAGGTGAAGAGTTGAGACTAGTTGGATATTTTGGACTTTTACTTGGTGGAATAATAAATAACCTTTGCATTTGATGTAGCACCTTTCACGCCGGGAGGACGTCTCAAAGCGCTTCATGGGATTTACCGTGTAGTGTGGAGACCGTGAATTTTGCTGGCAAATGGGCTGGATGGTCACCTCCGTTTCCTTTTCTCTGTTTTAATTATTGACAGTCAGGGACTCTTTATACAGAACTTTCCCTCGGGTGACTCAATATGCGTTCGGTCGATTGCACAAGGCTTGCGGAAGGAGCAAGCAAATTCATACGGTTAATTTCCATTCCTCCGTTCAACATCTCCATACCACAGGAGCATATCGGGTGAACAGTGAAACTTGTTCTGCCTGGGGTCGATGGTCTTCTGATAAATCATATTTCATCTAAAATTGTTCTATTAAATTAGTTTTGAAAATGGAAGTCAGTTACTCTGATAATGGCATCAAATTAACACCACAGGGTTTTTCCTCTTGACGTGTTGTACCTAAAATACCACAATATATGATCAAACGTGCTTCACTTTCTTTCGGCTGAATAAATAAAAATTAAACTCCGGGGATTTAAGCCATAATCAGATAAACAATCCAGATTTGTGCTTTCGTAGATTTTATTTGGTTTGTGCAATACTCTATTGGTTAACCCAATACTGTACAAGATATTCTGTTTTTTCTCTCTCAGTTAAGAAGCGTTTATATTTGCCACCCCAGCATAGCTTAAGTTATTTGTGCTGCATAAAATCGGTGTACATATAAGAGTGCCATATAAGATCAAATTCAGGTAATTTAAAGCAACAAAACAAAAAGCCGTGTCCTTTATTTTATTTTATTTTTAATTTGTTTTAATCTTAGGTACTTCCATAAACTATAGGAGCTCACAAACCAACACCTACCTACCTATTCCAATGCTGCTAACATTAACACTCAAAGTGTAAACCATTTCAACTGCACTAAAGGAGAACACACATTTCACCGGCCCTAATAAAACAATGTCTTCTCCTAAGGAACCTTGTAATGGCTCTGAAGATACCGAAGGTGTTCCTTTACCCAATGGGTCTCTAGGTGTAAAAGATGGTCAGTGTTCAAATGCATACACTTATAATGAACCAGATACTATGATTCAAATGGATTCGGTTGGTATTTGTCAGACTAGAGAAACAAAAAGCTATTGTAAGGAGGAAAATCTTAAGTCAGACATAAACTCAGACCAGACCAGCACTGGTAGAGCTGAAAAAGATGGAGTGCCAAAAGGAAAAATGGCCACTGATACACTCCATAGAAGTTTTCCAAATGCTACTACATTGGGAACTGGGAAAAGAAACTTAAACAGCATTGTGGCATTGCTGAAAAAGAAATGCGGCAATGGCAAAAGTAATTTGAATCCCGTAGTAACCTTAAGAGATATCATGAAAGACTTAAACCTCTTGTCTGATATGCAAAATAATGGCATCAAGCTCAGTTGTGGTACCCTTAAAATTGACTCCAGCGTCTTGCAAAGTAATGGAAGCAAAGTAGCAAAAAATGAAAAGACAGGATTACAGTATAGTTTCTTTTCTTCAGTTGTGCTTGCTAGCAGCATTAGAAGCCCAGAGGAAAGCCTGTGTGTAAGATCTAAACCTCAGATGGCGGGCAGAAGGCAAGCAATGGATAGGACGCAAAGGAAGGAGAACGCTGATCGTTGCGAACACAGGGACGTGGGGTTTGAGAAGTTTGATCCGGCCGCCTCCGATTCCAAAATCCAAGCTCTCATCTCGTCGGCGGTATCGTCCAACAGTAGCTTCTTCGAAAACGCGTCTTCGCTGTACGGCGTGTCGGAGCGCAGACACGACCTCAACTGCGGCGGCTCTAAAGCAGGGCTCCTCAAGCACGCTCAGAATGAGGCGGGGGAGATTAACGCCGGGCTGCTTCTGTCCGAAACCACGTGCAAGAAATACGCGCTAAGGAAAAAGACTCTCATACAGTACAACCAGGAGAACAGCTTCGAGCAGATCGATTGGGCGGCATTTTGCAAGGATGAGCCGAATACCTCAACGTCGACCGAAAGATGCCAGGATTACGCCGTGGCCTCTCGATTGCACCTCAAAAGCAGCCTGTTCGACAAGAACCTGAAATCGAAATGCAAAGGGAGTCGGAAGATGTTGGTTAAAATCGCGAAACTCAATCTCCAGAAGTACCTGGTCCACACGGAACGAAAGTCAAAACTGTGCCAAAAGCTTTTAACGCCCAACAATCTGGGCGCTGGCGTCCGAATCCACTCGCTCCCTGTGCCCGGGCAAAGTGTTGCGGCGGCGCCACCCGTGAAGAAGGGGAGGCGAAGCAAGGTAATGGTCTTGCCCACGGGCGAGATGCCCGTAGTCATCAAAAGGAAACGGGGACGGCCAAGAAAGGTGCTGCCGGAAGGGACCAGCGAAACCCCCAACCACGTCAAACGAAAGCCGAGGCATCACAAACTGTCTCCGCCACAGCCCTCCTACATTGCTGGCTCCAACGACAGTGCGACAGACTATGCAGATGTTTTGTCCAAATTGGCCTTTTTAACGAAACAAAGCCTGATCCTCGGCAGGTGCTCACCGCCCAGGTGTTGGTCGCCCAGCGACCCTGGTTCCTTCCACAGGTCGGCATCCATCCATCAGGACATGTCTCAGTTCTACCGGACTCTAGCCGGCACCCGCAGGAGGGGGGGGAAAGCGGGCTGTCCGAGGGGCAGGCAGATAGGCCAGCTGACCGAATCGTCCACCTTCAGCGACTTCTTCGAGGGCATCGGCAAGAAGAAAAGGATATTCTTGGGCGAGACCAAACTGCATGCGCGCAAATGCAAGTGGGGGACGGAGATGAGAGAGAAGCCCGTGCAGAGGAGGAAACCGTACAAACGTGCAACTCCCTTTCCGGAGCAAGGACGCTTTCAAGGCGTGAACCCCGACAATTCGGAATGGGCGAGGCAAGGGGATAGTTGCTGGACGGCCAACCAAGGGTATCCTTCAAAGCAGCAAGTCAGGAATGGTCTGTATCCATCCTACAGTCACCTGGGCATGTCCACGCAGTCCTTTCCTACCACTGTGTGGGAGTCGAGTTCCGCGTCCAGAAACGGCTACTTGATGGGTCGTCTATCTTCCGGCCAAAGCAACGTCGCTCAGCAAAGTCCCGGGTGCATCGCTGGCTATTTTCGCTCTCTCCTCGACTCAGACGATTCTTCGGATTTGATGGATCTGTCCTTCTCCCAGGCCGGGCAAGAGTCGTGCAGCATCGCCGGGGGTTACGGAGTCAATAACTCGACACAAACCCAAACCTCGAGGCAAGCCACGCATTACCAGGACGGCTTCGACAAAACCAGCTCTCCCAGTTGCTCTGGCGGCCAGCAGCACATAAATCAAATGGGACAGACGTACCCACAGATGATCCCAGATAATTCCGACGCTGTGGATTTTGGTTCTTCTTACTCGTCGGACACTGAAACTTTCCAAAGAATCGCTCCTCAATCATCTCTATCTAGACACGCTGCGCTGTCGTGTCAGCAGGCCGCGGATAGCTACTGTCAGTACAGCAGCTACAGAGCCAAAACCCAGAGCTTCAGCAGCTCGGAGGTAATACAGCCGCCGAGAGAGTACCCTGCTCTCGACTTTCTGGGCAACCGAGATTGTACATATGGGTACGACTCAAGCAATAATGGTACGTCCGCCCAAGGCACTTCTACTGATAACACGTACAGCCAGCGTGGAATAGGTACGAGCCTACACTTTAACAAGGCCTCGTCTTCATTCAATTCTTTCAGAGCAGACCGCAGTCCTCACGCTTTGCACGCGTCCTTGACCTGCGAAGGTTACTCGGACGCCATTTGTTCCATGGATCACGTGTCTCAGAAGTACTTCAGTTCTTTACAGTCGGCAGCGGCGGCGGGCGATCCCACCAGGATGGCATTTGCCCGGGGCCTTCAGCTGAGCTGCAAGTCGGGCTTTAACCTTTGCGATGGGAACATGGGGTGTTTTGGCCACCATTACACCCCAGTGTTGGACTATCACCTGAATGAGTCGAAGGACATCTTGGACATTTCAAACTACACGCCTCAAAAGGCAAAGCAGAGGCCGTTTCCGGAGGCTTTTGCCGATTCCTCGTCCCACTTTAGCACCTCTTTCGACAACTCCGAAGCTGCCGTCAACGCAGGCGGTAACCTGGGAACTGAAGAAAAATCCAGTCTCTCGAGTCTGGAGAAACTAATGATGGACTGGGATGAAACAACGCCTCTTGACAGAACGATGCCCAAAGTTGGTGCCAGGCGTCAGTGGAACCATCACATCCCTTTCCCCAGTGATTCGAAAACTACCTACGGAAGGCGTAGGAGAGTTGACATCTCCAGCCCGTCTCATTTGGTTTTCCCTTCATCTCCTCCCTTTCCCGCTAGAAAGGCGACAACGCCAAGGCAGCCCAGGAACACCAGAAGCCCCTGCGCGTCCAATAAAAAAGAACAGTCGGCCAGGAAATCAAAGCTGTCACAGAGATCTCAAGGCACGAATCCTGTATTCTCCGAGAGCTCAGAATGCAGTTTGGATTATGGCTACGGCGGAGAGAACAGCAGGCAGACAATTCTCTCTCACCCCCAAAACTTCAACCCTCAGAAAAGCGATCAGAAAGAATATTGTAGCATGTTTTCTGCCGGTTGTACTACACCCATGCCCGATGACAATTTTCCTCAAAGGTTCCCTGGTAATGATATTCAAGAGGCTGTTTCTATGTTCCCAGACTTGAAGCCGTCAGCGTTAGAAACAGAAACCTTCCAAAGCCCTTCACGGCAACTCTCTGCCCAAACGCTACAACACTCGATCAGTCAAGACCAAGAGAGATTGCTGTCTGACAGCCCGGACCTTTTTAGTTTGCCGACCTCAGGATACGTCGAGAATCTACCGTCGAACGAAGGGAAGAAGCACCCAGCTTTTTACGACTCGTTGGATAATAGCACAGGGTCGGACATTGCTCAAAGCAGCGTGGTACCCAACAGAGATTTGCCCTTGTCCCAACTCCAATATGAAACTGATAGTGCGTCTGCTTTGGAAACGAACACAAGGTATTTGCAGAATTCTGCTCCTTACGGCTCGCTGGATGAGAACAGGAAGGAAGCTGAAATGTCGCTGTTAGGAATGCAAGGAAGGAACAACATCCCCAGTATCGCCTCCCAGATCATCCACCTGAACGCCGTAGCACAAATAGACAAAGAAACGCAGAAACTCGGGTTAGATCACGGCGGTTCTGCTTACGCTGCTGCCGTGGCAAACGCCTCGCCCGCCTCCAGCGATTCCTCATTACACGTGGACAATAATTATAGTGACGTACAAGGAAACCATAGACAGGCAACACTGGGTTTACTACTCGACCAAAATCTGCATGAGGTGTACACAGGAGGTGCTTCGCAGTGACTCCTAACAGCAATGCAGGAAAGCCAATGCAAATAGGTAAGGGATCACCCGGTTTGACCCACAGCCAGCAAAAAAAAATGTTTCTCATTCTCAATGATAAAATCCGCCTTGTGCTCGTTTCGCTCCCCAAAAGTTGTGTCAAGGCCCAGTTGCTTTGCTTTGTAAATCTATCTCGGTTCTGGTGATCATTCGTGTGTGCACAAGTTCCACTGCTGATTTACTGTATCGTGTGTGTGTGTGTGTGTGTGTGCGAGGGAATTTGTTCTCTTCCACTTACCATTGGTAGGTGAAAGAGAACAGACTGCATCACGGTGTCTATCATAGGATTGGGGCACTTTATTTCCTGCGTAACCACTATCATATGCAGTTCATTCTTGGTCAAGCTAGGTGGTGTCAGCTAGACTCCAGCAGTCACCCCCAAGCAACACTCCCCCAGGCCTTGGGTCTTGCCAACCTACGCCTAAACCCTTCCGGAATTAGGTGAGCAGGATGCTTCCCTCCAGGGAAAGAGTATACATTCTATTCCAACAATCTTATCTCTGGGATTTCCATGGGATGCATGAAAATCTCTGTTTGGTTTGGATATTCCGCATTGGTCAGACACTCAAACAAATCATCCCACTCCTGTAACCCTGCAAGCCAAAGCCCTCACGGGTCAGGCGGTGCTAACTGGACGAGCAGCGGGAAAGCTTACCAGACAGGGATATTAATGGCAAGCTGTGCTGTTTTAGCTGGTTAGACTCTAGCAGTACCCCAACGCACACTCTTGAGCATGGCAATGGGTTACTGCGTGTGTCAGACACCCGGCTGACCAAAAAAATGGTCAAGTGTATGTTGAACTGCACCCTCTCTGTTCATAATGATGACGCCCTACCCCCCACCCAAACTAACTGAACCTTGCCAAGACTTTACATCTTTGTCATGTGGCTAAATTGAATGACAACTTATCTTTAAAACCTTAAGATAGATCTTAAATTCCCGATAATACAGAACACTAATCTTGTAATTACCGGATTGCGATGATCTCAGTGACTACCCCGTTATTGCGTACGAATACTTTGCAGATTATGTGAGGATTATTTTAGACGTCTGGGTTTATGAAAATATTTTTGATGGAAAGAAAAAAATGAACAAATTAGCACCGACAAACATTATTTAAAAAAAAAAGCATTATTGCCTCATTCTCCTTCTAACGCTGTAAGATGTCTCATGAATAAACAGCTATTGTGCTTTACTGAAGTATACCATAAATTTCTAAATGCTGAGGAATCCGGAAACTCCGACCTTTCAATTTGGCAGTCGAATATGCCAAGAAGGCAAAAAAAAANGAATGTCTGGGAGATTCACATTTACTTTTTGTAAATTAATTTTACATTTAAATGTTTTTAGTATAAAACGAGTGGCATTCAATGGATGTGAAGGTGTAATTCTGTGGAGCGTTGGGCCTCTTCCATTCTGAATGTTAGTTCACAAAGTGGCACATTGCAGCTTTCTGCGAGGCCATGGAGGGAGAGGCGCTGATTGAAAGCAAGTTGCTTCACTGCAGGGAGTGCACATGATAACACTGAAGGCTGACTCAACTGGCGCGCAGCCAGAAACTGCCTCGAACAGACTGCATGTCCAACCCTCAGGGTTCCTGTGTGACCTGTGGGGCGTGAGGAGGGGGAGAGACAGAAATCATGCTCCAAATTGCTGGCCGGTCTGTCTCCAGGGATAATGTAACCAACTACAATCAACTTAGTGATCTTAAAACCCTCATCGGTGAGACTGACAGGGAAATTTGGGGGTATATCTCTTCACCCAGTGTTCAAAGCGCAACACTGACTGACAACTGATTCATTTCTAATTGTCTTGCAAGGAAACAGTCGGATTTCTTTTTCCTGCCCAAAGGTTCCATTTCTCCCAGTTTATTCCCAAGGTTAAGTGGACGAGAGCATTTCAGAACTTACAAAGCAAAAATGGTTTTGTACACGGCAATCAAATATGCCATCGTATTCTAGTTAATTCCAGATTGGAAAAGACCCTCTCTCTATCCGGAGTAGCAAAGAGCAACCTCAACCTCAGCAACGTTGCCAAAGTGCTCAAATCAGTGGCATAACAAGTTAAGCCGGACAGCACAGTAAAGTACAGCTGTAGAATTTGGACATTCTTTTTTTTGTGGTTGATAGCCTGTGATTTGCGTTCTGTACTGAGCTCAGTTGTATTTTTTTTGGAATCGAGGAGACATGGGGAGGAAAAATGACCCAGTGGCATTGGGAGCATGTTAGACGTCTATGTGTCTGGAAAGAAAATGAGGTCAACTGGGAATGAGTAATGTTAGGAAAGTGAGTGTCGACTTGCAACGTTGACACTGAACGGGTTGCATTGGATCATTGAAATCTGTATAGGACTTGTAGCCCCAGTTCAACCTAGCGATCCGCAGTGCAGTACTTCTGTCTAATCTGTTTGCCCCGTTGTTACTTCTGTTGTTGCATGCAATGTCCCTGCCAGAATAATGATCTCTGATGCATTTCAAAGAGGGTTCGCAAACAAAAACTGTAGCCTTCCACTGTTCGTTGCTCATGGGATGCTATACATTATCCAGTAAAAAAAAAATCATTAATTTTTTCAGGAATGGTTGGATCAAGGTTTTTTTTTCCGCGGAGCAATTAAGAATGCGTAAAAAGCCCTGCGTGAAATCATTGGGAGAGTTTTATTGTGAGCTGACTGTTTTCAGGAAAACCACATTTTCGACTTCCGAGATTAATGTAAAATGGACTCCTGCAAAGACAATCACACAGAATTGTGGGGAAAGATGAGCAGAAAAGACGCAGACATTTTTTTTTAGAAGAAAAAAGGACATTGCACTTTGAGAACTGCGGCGAAGAAGCTCTTGTTTATAATCCACCTTTGAAAAGTACCCGGAATCGGACCCAAAATGCTGACTCTTTGCTCATTTACACAATCCATCTTTTAGACGGCTACAAACATGGGGTAGAGTTGGACCCAGCTGTTCAGCTGGTAGGTATAACATTTGTACAGTGTAAATATCATTTCTGTTCCTCTTTCTGTGATCGATCATTTTAATGCTTTCCAAAAAAAACAGAATGGTTCGTTCCGATTTTTAAGCAGTGTACCGTGGTAAAGCTCTCTCTAAAAAAAAAAACCTGTATTGAGTTTCCGATACTGTACAAATTGCCGTCAACGCACATAACACATGCTTAAAAAGCAAGTTCCTTGTTTTTTTTTCTCTCTTCCGAGGATTGTGAGATATCGGTGAAATCTTAAAAGTTTCAAGCCCAAGTTTTAAAGCCGTTTTTTTTCAATATAAAAAAAAATGCCACTTGAAAATGAAACTTTTGTACTTGCCCGGCTGGTTTGATGCAAAACGACGAATGCACAGAAACCTTTTTGTGCGTGCGTGCGTGTGCGTGTGTGTGTGTGTGCGTGTGCGCGCGTGTGTGTGTGAGTGCGTGTGATGACAGGAGTGGCAAAATTTAGTGGTAATTGAGGGGCGGACAAAAAAATGGTAATCGCACTAATTTTTCACTCATTTTTCCTTCAGAAAACAAGAACCGCACAAGAAACATGGTACTGATGTGCCATACAATGTGTATTTTGGCAGCTCTTTAATTGCTTGGAGTCAGCAATGCTGTCGAGAGCTCATGATCCTTTTTTTTTCCCCCCCGTTTGTCACCCCATTACACAGTGACAATACATGTTGTTTTATTATAAATACATATGTTTTTTTTAAAAGCGAAATGTACAGTTTTTATAAACAGTATTTAACCGAGGACAGAATTAGATGTGTCACGTGGGCACCAGCAGTTCTTTTACTGTACAAATATATCTGTAAATTCTTTATATCGATTATAGCTAGTGCTTCGAATATGCACTGAAATGTTTTGCCTGACGAATGACAGAAAAAGGTTATAACGTATTTAATGTATATAATGTTTTATTTAAGATGTGTTTTTATTGTACTCTGTACCTACCTGTAGTGATTATTGTGAGGTTGCAAGGTTGGTTTTTAGCACATTTTTTTGCCTCCATGCAGTGTGCACCCAAAGATATATCTTTGTAAAACAATTTCGTATGGACTTTTTATTTGTAAGATGCAGTATTATATGATGAATTTCGGAGTACACATGATTCTAAGCTCAGGGTGTCATTTCTGTTGACTTGCCTGAATTCAATCTGTTTATTGAGTGGTTTGTGTGTACGTGTGTGTGTGTGGGGGGAAAAAAAGGAACATTGCTAACCATTTCTTTTTAAACAAACGTCCTTCACAATTATGTGTTCTCCAAGATGCACTCCATGGCTTCCTGATTGTTTAGTTCATATCAAACACAATCAGTATTTTTGCAGACCATCTCGTGACCAGAGAAACCTGGAACTCTCTCCCCCAAAAGGCTGGATCCATTCAAATATTCAAGACTGAGGTGGATAGATGTTTGTTGGATTAGGGTATCAAGGGATATGGGCCAAAGGTGGGTAATTGGAGGTGAAGTACAGATCAGGTATAATCTAATAGAATGGTGGAACGGGCTCGAGGGGCTGATACTCCTGTTCTCCTGTTCCTATGTCTTTGATTGACCAGATTTCCCCAATTGCAGGAATCTTAGCATCACCAAAATGTGAAGTATAGGATTAAATCTGTAGGCTCCCCGGTCTACTCAAGGGGGAAGTAAGTAGGAGGTTGATTTTGACAGTATCCGTGTCATTCTGCCGACAGAATGAATGAGACCAGCATTGTGTTACCACGATTCCATTGGATTTTAATCTATCGTAGAACACTCTCCCTTCCCAGAACAAGTAATCTCCACTAATACCTCTAAATATTTTAGGATAAACCAGGCTGGAGCATTCATTATTTTATTAGTGTCTATACCAGGCAGACCCTCCATTGGGAGTTGCAGCAGATGAGAATAGATTAGCTGTTCATTTGATTCCTATGGTTCCTCAGATTCATTCTTATCTGATTCTCTCTTGTGCCTTGCACTCGGGAGAAATTCTGATTATAATGGGAAATCCCATTTGTGGCCTTTGTCACCGCAAGTGATGTGCGTAAAGTTCACTGGTATTTTTCCCCAAAGACCTGATCTCTGAACCACCTGATTTCTATTATTTACATCACATTTTCATCAAGGAGTGCAGTTTCTTGAACCTGTTCCTCAAAATATTGTGGGAGCTAAGAAAATGTTCCGTTACCACCCAACGGGAAGGGCACCTTATAAATGCAAGTCTAAGATGTCGCTCCAATGCAATGCTGGGGACGTATTGCATTGTTGGAGACACCGTCCTTCCGATGAGACGTTGAACCAAGTTCCCGCCTGCCTTTTCAGGTGGATGTTAAAGATCCCGCTGCGCTATTTGAAAAGAGAAGGGAGTTTCTCTCTCCCGGTGTCCCGGTCGACAATCCCCCAAATAAAATTGGTCGCTCACTCCAAGGCTATTTGTGTGACGCTGCTGTGCATAATTGGCTGCCACGTTTCACCCACAAAATACACAGTCACTCCACTTTACAGTATATCCTGTGAAGCGCTTCGAGACATTTCAACAATGTGATAAGGCGCTATATCAAATATAAGGATTATTAAGTTATTGTAACTAGTTCAAAACACCTTTCATGTATATATATATACACACACACACACGTTAATTCATATCCCAAAATGTTCTCAATAAGCATCACTCAGATGCCCGACTCCCAACAAAATACCTTATTTATTCCAAAAATCAATTAATAGTCATTTTAAAAGTCTGCTAAATTAATATGAAAATCTCTTAATGAAGAATAAACGTATGATCATTCTGTGCATATAATAAATCTACATGGACACGAATTCCTTCCCCCTAATTTTTTCAAAGACCGATAATGAATTGAATCAACAATTTAGCCACACAATGAATTGATTACCATTAAAAGATTACATTGAACAGATGTTTGCAATCCCAAACATGCCGAATTTAATGCTTTGCAGATTTTGTATTGAGCAGTACCTATGTAGGGATTTTGTGTGACAAATTGTAAATTGATATGGAGAAAAACTGCCCCTTTTCGAGAGTAATGATGCAATTTAATAACTTTCACTTCTGGGTTTTATTGCAAAGCCGTAAATTAACCTTTGCATTTCAGTCTTCTAGCTGAAGAGAGAAGACTCAAACCTTGAATGCGCATCCTATCCTAGTGACTCACTGGGGGTTAGGATTCTTCCCACTCAGCTCCTGTTAACCCTAAAAGCCGAAGCTCCTCATGTGGTTGTGTTCCTAGTTGGACAAAGCAGTGCCATGTTGGCAGTCGGTGCTTTCAAGACAAGCCATGCGATTTTAACTAGTTAAACTCCAGCAATTAACCCTCACTCACACTCTGGGGTGCCTAACTCTTGGCTCTCAGGAACATACGCCTACTACTGCCTGGAATTAGGTAAGCAGGTTGCATCCCTCCAGGGAGAGAGTGCGGATTCCATACCAGGCGCAGCAACAACCGCAAGTGTAGGTGGCACACACACGTGGATCTCAGTCTGGTTTGGGGTCATGGGTTTTTCCCACATATCAATCTTGCTGCTGACCTCCAAAAAACTAATGATGGTGAGTTGCTATTGGTAAGAGAATAACTTGATTTTTTTCCCCCCAGGTTTTTATTTGATTATCAGGAACGTATATCTAACTGGAATACATGGACTGCACAGCAACGGGAGGATTTAGCAGTGCAAAAGCAATTTGGAAAATACTGCATTAAATTTAACAGTAAATTGGTATATTCACCTGTGGGGATTGTATCTTCTTGGAGGCTAAGTCATTGTATTCACTCTACATTGCATCTTCCACTGGCGCAAGGTACACGGACTTAAAGTCTGAAAGCAATGACCTTTCCAGAGTGAGTTGCAGCTCTGACTGCAACCATGTCTGTTTTACCATAAAGGGTTTTCCCATAACACCAGGCATCCCTAAAAAACCTACCTTTGCTCCCCACCAACCAAGCTCACGGCCCTCAAGTGAAGAAACACATTGTCAACACGGACCGTTTGCAGTTAAGGTACGTCAATGCGGAAAGCGTGTCGATAGATTGTGCGTCTGTCTGTGTTTGTAAAAGAGGTTTCTCTCATTCCCTCCTTCACGATGCTAAGCCGCGGGGAGTGGAGAGGTGACTGTATCTGAATATAATATACATACAATAGTATCTGAAGGTGGTGAAGCAGAGAGGGCAAGGCAGAGGGAGAGAGGGCAAGGCAGAGGGAGAGAGGGCAAGGCAGAGGAAGAGAGGGCAAGGCAGAGGGAGAGAGGGCAAGGCAGAGGGATAGAAGAGTGTTCCAGAGTTTCGGGGTGTTGTGGCTGAAAATACAATCCGATTTACATTTAGATAATGCCTTTAACTGGGCTTCCAAACTGCTTCAGACTCGGAGATGAGATGCGTCAAACTCATGTTCTGCATGAATAACTTTTGCCCAAATCGGAACAGATGGATTGCTTTTGCCTGAAAGTATGATTCGCCCTCAGCGTCTCGTCTGTGCTGTGGGTTCCTAATTAAAAGGCAGCACTGTGCAAAACAAACTGCTTGCAAGACTCACCAACCCATCTCGATTCGGACACTCTTTTGTGCGCTGAACATTCAAGTCCTGACGTTTGAAAAGTTACAGAGCGTTAATTCGGATTGCAATTTAAGTCTTAATAATAATAATAATAATCATGCATTTGACGTAGCGCCTTATCAGGTCGTTGAGACGTCTCAAAGCGCTTCACAGAATATACTGTAAAGTATATGTTTGTGGGCGAAACACAGCAAGCCAATTGCTTAGATCAGAAAATACATGCGTGCAATGAAACGGAGAATAATATCGAATCACAAAAGTGTAAGTGAGCAATGAGACGATTCATTAGAATTACGCCCTGGCATCGGATATGTATTCATTTGCAGTCGACTGCAGGATACCCTTTCATTTAATATTACATTGATTCATTCCTGTTGCTTCACATTTTAAAAGTTATTTGCACTCCAACAGAAAATATCCCCATGACTGCACTTCCATCAAGATCTCACAGTGTCAAGCTCAGCATAGCAATTGCATAAACTCTGGCTATTTTGAGGCTGCATCTGCAGGTTTAGTACGGGTCAGCCCCTTTGAAATATCCCCCTTGACATCTGTACCTGCTGGAGCAAAAGTATTGTGAGTAGGAACATCTGTATGTCCTAACAGGTAGAATTCCAGGTGTTGGGACCACATTGTTAAAGTCGCCAAATTGCAATATGAGGAACTGTTCATCCTTGTGATGATAATAATAATAATGATAATAATCCTTTGCATTTGGTGCGGCGCTTTTCACGTCTTCTAGACGTGGCAAGTGATCGATGTACTCCCAACAATGGAGCGTTGGAAACAACTTGCACTTATACAGCGCCCTCCACGTAGGGTAGCATCTCGGAGCGCTTAACGGTGGCGGAGCCCGACTCTGAGCCGGTGGTGGGTGGAAGGAGGTGACCGTAAGCACGGCCGAAAAGCAAGGCTCACAGGCGGGACTTGAAAAAGGGGAGAGAGGAGGGGGCAAGGCGGAGGGACTGAGGGAGAGGGTTCCAGAGTTTTGGAGTGTAGTGGCTGAATGCCAATGATGGGGCGGAGGGTGCGAGGGATGAGCAGAAAGCTGGTGCCAGTCAAACGGAGGCACCGGGTGGTGGATTGGGGAGTGAGGAGGTTGGAGAGGGAGGGAGGGAGGTGCCAGGAGTGAAGGGTTTTGAACACAAGAGTGAGGATCTTGAAGTCGATCTGTTCGGCGATGGGGAGCCAGTGGAGCCTGGGCCAGAACTGGTGAGATGGGGAGGTACAGAGTTTGGTCCGGGTCAGTATGTGAGCGGCAGAGTTCTGAATGAGCTGGATTTTTTGGAGCTGGAGAGATTGGCCAAGGAGTGCGTTTGAGAAAACCGGTTAATCAACAGTGATTGACAGCCAACGTACAAATTGAGAGCCCCATAACAACTTGCGCTGACGTGAAACGATCTAAAAAATAATGTAACAGATAAACGTTGGGAAGATTCTCTCTTCACGCATGAGCTGTGAGTTACAACTCATCAATTTCTTCTCCACCCATTCACAGAATGACTTAATGCTGCTATAATGTCTAACGTGTTTGTGAGCGTGGTGGTGTGACCGTGACTTCCAGAGATATGTAAATCCCAATGTAGATGGTTGCTGAGGTGACCCTGTGTGCTTTTAAATTTTTAATGATCCAACAGGCTTGTAATCAAGTTGAGACCTCGAGCTAATTAAAGCACTCGTCACTCAACACCACAGTTTAATTAGCTCTCTCTCTTCCAGCATAAAACCCACCAGGCCATTCTCCGCTGCCTTGTTTGTTGATGCCATTGCTAGCATTCAACAACCTGTTCGGTTCGAACTGGCAAACTGAACGTTAACTGTTGGTAAGAGTCAATATTCTTCGAATGTGGTTCATTAACTACAGCTGAATAGTCACAGTAATGGTCAAACAAATTTTGCTGCATGTTTCATGTTGAAATTCTGAACTCGAAGCTGATTAAAAGTGTTTGTGTGAGCGCCCTACCTCGCAGTTATCTCGCCCTATTTTACTGCCAAACCCACTGGAATGTTTCATTAAAACTTTTAACAATGGTGCAATTGCACATCACAAATAATGACCAGTCACAAGACTGTCTTTATAAAAGTTACTTCTTGTTAAATATGAAATGATCTTTGACTCAGGGCGGCCGTGATTTGGGATAATTCCCAACCCCTATTTAAAGTTTGATGACACGATGCAATTTGTATCTGTTTCGGATGCTCTTAAGCCGGTGATGGGTTTCTGCGTGTGTCAACCACCCGGCTGATTGAATAACTATCATGTGTTGCCCATTTGCTATGATCACCGAAACATGCCGTTAAAGGTACTGTAGCGCATCATTACTGCACTCCCGCAAAGCATGAATATTTTTACATGTGAAAATCAGCAAAAACAACTAGAGCATGAAATATGTTGCAAAAATATGTTTTCATCGAATTTGGACACCTCAGTTAGCGGATCATGCTGTGGGTTGAAAACTACAAGGTCTTGAGTGAAACCAGAGAGACTGGTAGATTTGTTTTGGTGGTGGGTAAATGTATCACAAGTTGTGAAGATCACAGGATCAGTTTGGATGAAGAAAGCTCTTCGGCCCATCCAATCTCATCCTTCCAGAACACCCAACCTACTGCTCCCCACCCCATCACAGCATCAAGCTGTTTCTTATGAGTCCCAGTGTCACCTCTCCCAGTAACCTGTTCCAGTCGTTGATTAACCTCTTGAGTAAAGAAAAGACTTCTGCCGGATGGGCTTTCAGCTATTCTGCCTCTGCTCTCTGGAACTCTGTCCCTCCGACTCACTCCCTCCCTCACCTCAATGTAGGTCCATCTCAAGACCTACCTCTTTGACGTGGCTTTCTCACATCTCTCCCCACCTCTCGCCCTTTGGCTCCTTCCCCAACTCGAGCACTTTGAGACGTCCTCTCAACGTGAAAGGCGCTGGGTAAAATGTACGTTATATCTGACGTTGGCGTTTTACAGGCAGCTTTATGGAATATCTGCACTGTAGATTATTAATATTACTTCTCACCTCACTCTGTGTCCAACCCTGTCCCTCTGAAGCACAACAACAACAAACAACAAGAAAATTACATTTTGATAGCACCTTTCACGTCGGGTCGACATCCCAAGACCTTATCCTACGTGAAGGGCACTCTATAAATGTAAGCTGTCGTGGTTGTTGCAGATTATTCTCAGGGTAACAGAAACCTCACATCACCAAGTCACTTCCTAAAGGAATGTGTGTATCACCAAAAGAGAGTTGTAAGTATCGCAACGATGCCCGTACTTTGAGTTTCAAAGAGTTTATTTTTTTGAAACGAGGGATAAACCATCGTTACTCTTCGTGACTTTGCTCATCACAAAACCAACACAGAAATCGAGGAGATACAGTGTGTTTATTTTCACATGCTTTCCAAAGTAAAGCATTCATAATAATAAGGATTCTTATTATTATCATTCAGTACAGTACCAATCGGCTACTTTATTGCTGTGTACACGTTTGTGTTTGTAGACTTCAGTGAACAATCTGCATTGATTTGTGCATTTTCCAAAAAATTGAGTTCATTTAGAATTGAAAATTCAAACATTTTGTGGGGGGTGGGGGAGAGGCGTGGGGAAAAAAAGCAACTTTCATTTATATAGCGCCCTCCACTCTGGGCAGCGTCTCGCTCGGAGTGCTTAACAATGGCGGAGCCTGAGGCCAAGCCGGGGAGAGGGGGAAGGTGACCGTAGGCGCGATCGAAGAGGAAGGTCTTCAGGCGCGATCTGCAGATTGGGGAAGGAGGGGGCGAGACGAAGGGGTTGAGGGAGGGAGTTCCAAAATTTGGGGGCGTAGTGGCTGAAGGCACTGCCGCCGATGGTGGAGCGGAGGATTCAGACGGACACGGAGGAGGTTGGACCCAGTAGAGCAGAGCCAGCGGGGGGGGGAAGAGGAGGTTAGAGAGATAGGAGGTTGCCAAGGAATGGAAGGAAATATACACTAGAGTGAGGATCTTGAAGTCGATCCGCTCTGTGACAGGAGCCAGTGGAGTTTGGGGAAATCGGGGCATGAAGTTTGGTGCGGGTGAGAATGCAGGCGGCGGAGTTTTGAATGAATAGAAAAAAAAGAGAATATTTCTGCGTAGTATATTCCTGTAGTGTTCACATCATGTGTCATATCAATGCTTATTGTCACACAGTGAAACTTAGATATGTGTCAAGTGTTTAACCTTTGGATGTATTGTACAATCATTTCCTTATGGTTTGCAGCAATGCAAAGCATTAGAATAGAGTATTGTACTGTAAGTTAACACTAAACCTTTACAATCTCTGTTACCAGGAACAGGGTACAGTGCACAGACTGAAACATATTAGGAGGCACTTAAATGGTTAAACAGGTACATCAAAACTGGCAAATATTAACCTTTTGCGATAAAAAATATATTATCTAAATACACAAAAATGCTTTATACTTTAAGAAACCCATTTTTCTGACTTTAAAGAGTCTGAATTATAATTTCATTGGCCTGCAGATTAAATCTCAGTTGAATTGCCCTATAAATAAATATTTAACTCTTTGATATGCTTTGGATGATTTTCAAGGGGAAACATTTAATTTTCTCTTAATTAAAAATAAACATCAAAATGGTTGATTTGATCAGTTCAGGCACCAACACGTAGTTCTGTGATTATGTCATTCAAAAGCTATAAACCTTTCGAGCTTTTCAATAATTTCTCCTCCACACCTGGCACTAGTTATCCCCTCCAGCTATTCACACACTCACTCCCCCATCCTCTGATGCAGGGCAGGACAATATAGCCGCATTCCCATGGCAGCATCGCTCTCTGTCATGGCTTGAACCAACAGACTATCCAGTTGGTAGAAAGGAATGTATCCTTTCACATGCCTCAACGAGCTCAATCTAGTAAACTCCCTCACGCCCAAGAGAAACTGGATGCTGGATTGGGGTTTGAAAGCTGTGATTAGTGGGGTAACCCTGTCATGTCCTGCACCAACTAACATCTCACAACAACCTTTGTATCTCAGTGCTTTTGAAACTCTTGAACACTCTTCCTCTATCCCTCCGTTTTGTCCCCTCCTTCCCCATCTTCAGGTCGTGCCTGAACACCTTATCTCTTTGACCGGGAATTGGATAGGTATTTATTTGATAAGGAACAATTTGCAGGGGGTAAGGGATAAGAGCGGGGGAGTGAGACTAGTTGGATTCCTCTTGCACAGGCACAGTGGGCCGAATGGTCTCCTTCTGTGCTATAGCTATAAGATTCTGTGAATGCTGTGTTGGTGAGCAAGCTGTCAAAAAGTACCACTTGCTGAAAGCGGGTTGAGATTCCCTTTAAAATCACTAAAAAACAAACACAGGCAATTAGTCCCATGGTAAACTTTTTGGGGGGAATGGTAAACAGCGAGCAAAGCTAAATGCATGTTTAAGCACCGAGGTACAATTGATTGTAATACTTTTTAGCATCTATTGATGTTCTTCACGCATCCCAGTCAATTCATTTACAAGATGCCCATTTGCCTTTTTTTTATATCTTGTGTACGTTACCTATAAGGTAAGGAAACATATTCCACACTAGCTGTTTTAAGACTAGTTTTTTTTGGTCCATTTAGTGGGGTGTAAGGATTTAACTTACTTTTATTGGCACGGAAACCTGCCATTTATTGTGTAAAGCCTGACAGTAAAAAAAAATGTACACACCTAAATGGTACATATTTTACAAAGCTGCTTCTTATTATAATATTGCACCGTATAACTTGGGTGAGCTGTGATATTTTTACAACGTAAGAGATCTGGGACGCCCCCTCGAAATTTCTCACGTCCTCAGACTTAAGGCCGTTGTCTTAAAAGTTTTAAGATTAAAGTGAAAGAAACTGGGTTAAAAATTCAGTCCACAGTTTTTTCAGGCGCTGGAGGAAAATCAGATTCCAAGTGGAAAGTGAATCCAAGAGTGTTTTGCGAAAACTCCTCTCTGCCTTTTCGTCTGAGGAAAATGAGGGATTTCAGGCCCTGGTGAACGTCAGCAAAAACAACAACTGCTACTTCACCCGAGTTGTGACTCATCTGACATTCCAGCTGTGACAAAAAATGAATGTAATCGACGCGCTGATTCACGCTTCATTCCTCTCATCCGCGTGTTCTCTCCTCTGCTGCAAGCCAGAATGCTTGATGTAGCTGGCGAACACAAAGCTGTAGTTGTTGAACTGAGCGTACTGCAAGTCCTTGCGCTTGAATCCATCCACTTCGGGAGGTGGCGAGCAGGAGATGTGACATTTCGAACTCTGCGTGGAATCGTCAGGATTAATTATCCTGTCCGAATCTTCCCAGTGAGCCATCGCCATCAATTAATAAAGCGAGTTATTATCCAGTGCTGTATATGCCCATCAAAAGGAAGGTAGGAAATAGGCACGTTCCATTGTGTCAGGGAGTTTCTCTCTCCCCAGTGTCCTGGCCAACAAATTCCACCACCCCTCACCCCCCCCCACCCTTCCGCTCCCACACAAAAAAAACGGTCGCTTACTCCATGGCTGTTTGTGGGACATTGCTGTGCGCAAAAATACACGGTCACACTTTAGAATATATCCTGTGAAGCGCTTTGAGACATCTCGGTGACGTGACAAGGCGCTATACCAAATGCAAGGATTATTATCATCATTATTATTAAGGGGATACAACGAGCACCACTCGTACCTAAAAAAAAAGAGTCATGAGGGCTGTGTGGAGCTGACCTGGCTTCAACAACAACTTGCATTTATGTAGCGCCCTTCACATGGGGGTAGCGTCCTAAACGAAGCCAGGCAGAGCCACAGTAATCCAAGGCAGTCTAGCAGGTTTGGACACGTGCTTCAGGCCAGAACCCTGAAGGAACCATTAACGCAATGAGTTAAGGATCCACAATATTCTAACCCAACCCTTTGACCATTCATGGTTACGGAAGAAAGGTTTAAAAAAAAAATTTCTGTTTTCTTGAAATATACAAATCACAATTTTAAAAAGAAAATGTCTCTCATTGAAAGGAAAAAGCAATTTCAGAACATCGCGAAGGGATGGAATGCAGCCGGAGCTCCAGGTTTAAGGTTTAAGCAGTGCGAGGATTTAAGAAATGTCACTTTTTTTTTTCGCTTGTGAAAAATCACACCAAATGAGTGAGCGAGCAAGTGAGTGAGTGGGGGAGGAACGAGACAGGAAGGGGGTTGGAGGCATTCAGAAAGGCTAACCTCCCCCACGAGTTTGGACCCAGGTTCAAGACCTGTGCAAGCTCATTTTGTTTCAAATCGGAGTGGGGGTGGGGGGGGGGGAATTCATGCAGACAGGGAGACGCAGATTAAATAAGTGTCTCGGTTTACGCCAGCATAACACAAACCAGCTGGTTTCTTTGGGCAAAGAGATCCCTTGCGGCAGGTACGATCTACAAGCAGGGAATCGACACACTGTGCACCTCCTTGCATTTGATAAAGCGCCTGATCACATCCTCGAGACATCTCGAGAGTGCTTCACAGAATATACCGTAAGGGGAACTGTAAAATTCCAGCGTGGCTCAGGCCCCAAAGTCCACCTGGTCTTTTAGCCTTAGAATATTTAAAATTGTTGAGTAAAAAGAATCCTCCAGATCAGCCCTGGTTTGTAAAGTCGGTGTTTATAAAAGGGAGGGACTGGTTTCTAAATCCGGGCTGTTTCTACACGTTCGTTCAGACAGCCTGAAACAATATGGCCTTGAGGCTAAGATCGTGAGAAATTTCAGGCCTCTGGGGTGCACATAGCGTGCCTGAGAGCCCTTATGCCCTTTCGAAAACAAATTTAAGAAGAACGCAGATCTGACTCAATAAGAGTAAAGGCCCAGGCTGTTTGCATCTGGTTTTCCTGGCTCTGCTCACTGTGCGAAAGGCAGATTTACTGCACAGCCCCAAGTTCACCACAACGAACGAGCTCACGCGGTGATTTTTTTTAAGGTTTGCAAAGCTAACTGACCGCGTGTTACACGTCTCCCAGATCTGTCTACATCTTGGCAGCGAACTGCATCTCGTTATTGGAGGTGACTTAAACCCAGAGTCCCGGGACCTTAAAAGCTCTCCCGAGACTTCTCCTCGCGTGAAGGGCGCAATATAAATGCAAGTTGTTGTTGAAAAGCGACTTGAATTTTTGTTGTTGTTGTAACGAGACCTTAGGCTAAATGCGCTAAATACTGGTCCCAATGAAGGCTGGGGGTGAAGGTAACCCAAAAGCACAGTCAAAATGCTTTCGGACGGGTTTTACCGCTGGGGAGGGATTGGGCGTGAGGTGGACTCTGGGATGGAGTTCCAGGGATTGGGGAGAGAATGGCTGAAAATTCACACGGCGATGATGGGGTGGATGGGAGAAGGGGCTGGCGGGGGTGGGTGGGGGAGTGGGGAGGGAAAGCGGATATGGAGCAGGTTGTTGTCCGTTGAGTAAAGAGACCGGTCGGGGGGTGGGGGGGAGGAGACGTTTCTGGTCAGGGCAGGTTGCTTCTGGATCCTTTGGATGCTCACACAAGCCAAGTCACCAACGACCCTTTTTGTTGTAATGGAAAGTCTCCTCTGCGGGAACTCACTCACCTGATTAGCAAACAGAGTTGTTACAAACGCTCCAGGCTTGAAGATGTCCACAACCTCGCTAATCAGTTCAGTGAAGGAATTCAAGGCGAGGTTAGTCTCGAAGCTGACATAGGAGAAGTCAGGCTCTGGGGTGATGTGAATGGTCCAATATGTTCCCTGTAGTTATGGCAGAGACAAAGAAAGAAGAGCTGTGGAAATATGGTATAATAACATACATACAATTATTATGGGGGCCTTACCATACAAAGAGCAGCCAGACAAGAGAACAGAGACCGGTCGTAGAAAATATCAGCCCGGCACTTTTTTTAAATGTACAGTGTAATATACGATTAGATTTTGGGCAACTTGAAAATTTAGATTTTTTTTTCTGGATTGTGTGCGAGTGTGAACATTCGTTTTAAAGTAACTTTTTTACAAAAAAAAACTGATTTACGATATTGCCAATTTGAGAACTGTTACATACATATATATATACACACACACACACACACATTACAAATTTACATTCATTATAGCGCCTTTCACGTCAGGAGGACGTCTCAAGACACTTAACAGCACTGGCCGGGCAACTGAGTCTGGGTTTGAGACGGATCTTGAATGAGGTGAGGAAGATAGCGAGTTGGAGGGATGGATGGAGTTAATAATAATAATAATAATAATAATCCTTGCATTTGATATAGCGCTTTTCACGTCGGGAGGACGTCCCAAAGCGCTTCCAGAGTTCCAGAGAGTAGGGACAGATAGCCCGAAAACTTTTATATATACATTATATTATATATGTGTTTGTGTGTGTGTATATATAACAATTTTATGCATGCAAACCAGAAATTCCCAATTAGCCAAACTCACTCTTAACAGATGAAAGAATTTTATTTAACGGTTACGTTGGCAGCAAATGCCCTGTGAAAGCGCTTTGACAAGTTTACGTTGTTGCGGGCACGGATAGCGAGTGCAATGATTATTCCCCTGAATTTCGATACTGCGTTGACAAAATAAAACCGTTAAATAACTACGGTAATAAAAAATAATAAATGTAACATTAATCGCGAGAATAACAACCACCACCGAAATCTTATCCTGAGGAAGAGAGCAACTTTGGGTGGAAACCCTGTAATATTCCAAGTAGGAAAATTGCAAATATAGCGCATTAAAATATATACAATGTATAAGCAAATCCATATATTCTACTCCGAAGCACATATATAAAGCAGCGCAGATGTGCTAATGAAATACTTATGCTGCACGCGGGGAAATGTCATGATCTGTTCTGCCGGGGAACATTTGGAATATAATATTTTTAAATCCCCAGGACAGATTCAATAAGGGCTCCTTCGTTAGTTACAGCTCCGGTTTATGCTGCCGCTTCTGCCCTGCATATCCCACGGATAAAGTAATAAGCGACTTGCAGTTAGAAAATAAAATCCGAGTCTGTCCCTTTAAGCTTTTTCTCTCAAACGACCACAGTGTGATGAATACTCGCTGAGACAGCGAGACTGCCCTCTCTTTGTCCTGTGTACTTTCAGTTCATTTCCGCCCCCCCCCCCCCCCCCCGCAATCTCTCCCCCTCCCTTCCCCACTGCTGGCAACAGCTGCACATGAAATGATGCACTGCTTTAGACGTCAGCAATGCAGAAACTCGCTGCAGACGTATTCCTCGCCAGACTCTTGTCATTTCACAGCTCCTCCTGCTGTCATAAGGCTACAAAGGGCGCAGCAAGGCATTGCTGACGGGCGGAATATGTACACAGTACCTCTCGCTAACCTTGTGAAATTTGCCAGGGATTGTATGTGTGTGGGAGCGGTGGTTGGTGGGGAGGGGGAAGGACAAAGAAAGAGCAGCCTCTAGTGGTGTTATGGTTCTGCCCAGCTGGACACAGCTGGCTGCCTCTGGGGTGGAAATTGGACTGATTAATAATAAAATAAGAATCCCTGCATTTGACAGAGCGCCTTGTCAAACCTACGAGACGTCTGTCTCACAACGCTTTGTGAATTGACTGCGTATTCTGCGGGCGAAATGATCTCGAAAGCGCGCCCCAGTTTCTCAGCTCAGTGTACCAGAAACGAGCCTGCAAGGAAACGCTCTCCCAAGTCACGTTTTAATGCCCATCTTCTCAGACTCGTCAGACTCCGGCGCTGCGAAGCTCTACCCCACGTGAAGGGCGCGATATAAATGCAAGTCGTCGTCCTCGAGCTCGACAGGGAAATCGATCTGGAGATACAGCCTTTCAACAAACTGCAGGTTCCTAAAAGGGAACCTCTTGCTGCCAAACAAAAACCGCTGGCGTTTTCGGGTTGTCAAGGGCTGTTGATGACTTACATCTGCTTTCAATCCGTTCATTGAATAGCCGCATGGATCAAACATCGTGGCATCAATAACCGAGCCTGGGATCAGGTTACATATTCCGCTCATCTGAGAAAACAAACACATTATTTCAGAGAAGCTTAAGCCACATTAAATCCAGCTGGGCATAGATTCTTCAGGCCCCAGAGACTGTCAGATGCTTCGTCAAAGTCCGAGCTCTGGCATTCCAAGTATTCGCCGAAAATATTAAAAGTTATTCTGTAAAAATTGATTGCGTTCCAAAAAAGTACAGAGTAATTTTAATGAAAGAATGCGTCTCAGGCCTATTCTGGGTTTGTAACGTGAAACTAATACGCAGAAATTGCATCTATTCTGGAGATCACTGTGTCTAAATGCCTTATAATTATGCCTTTAGCTTGTGTTTTATGGGGTTATTTAAAACCACATTCTTTAAGGAGGCTGAGAAAGTATTCTTCAAAGTCCCTTTGTCTAGAAATTACATTGTCTGAAGCAAAGAGAGCTTGAGTTTCACCAACTGGCAATACTCTTTCAAAGAACCATTTGATTCTGAACAACTGATTGAGACATAAGGTATATTTTATTTCTAGCGATGAATTTACAGAGCCTCACAGTGTAGCACAATCAACAGGAACACATCGATTCTTAATGTTTATCTATACTGCAGTTTGAAAGAGTATTTATTGGTGATTTTTTTTCAAAAATGACACTTTTTCACCAAACGTTGCCCCAAGTTCAATTCACATCATTCACATTTGACTGCTTCACTCCTTTTAAGTTTTTCGCACACTTATGATTGAAAACTGCATCAAATGTAGATTGTTTTGCAGAAAGCACGGGTGGGAGTGTGAAAATACACTACAGCAAGCTGGAAACTTAAGCCAACATCCGTCCACTCAGACAAGCACGGCTGCTGAGGACACACCGCGATGTTGGCAGCTCAGTCCACTGTCACCCATGAAAGACCAGCAGTTTGCTGCGGGCAGCCATCACTGAGAGACACCTCATCTCACGTAAGGAGGCCATGACCAGCAATAAAGTGGGTGAGAATTGAGAGCTAAGCCCCTTAAACAGTAACCTGTCCTCCTAACTGCCTATGCGTTTCGCTAAAGTATTTGTCAGCCAATGCAAAAATGGCAAATGATGTGCGATGTGTCCACATGGCAACCTCAGTGTTAGGATTGATTAGTTGTGAGGCCTTTTAAGAAGTACGGTAATACATTCTGTTAAAATATTAACTTAGCCCTTGCAAGTAATTTGCGGTGGCTGACTGGCTCAGTCGGTTGCACTTTGCTTCTGTGAGTCAGAAGAATAATAAGAAGGGTGTTAGTCCCAGCAGAAGGAGGGGTGCGGGTTGCAACTCAACTCAGTTCACAAATAGGAGGGAGGAAAAGCCTGATTCTACAAAGCAAGTTTAGCTCAGCGAGATGCAATGAAGATGGGGTGTGTTTCTGGTAATAATAATGTAAGGATTTTTCATTATTATTATTTTATTAGTAGGAATGAAGTAGTGGCTCTCTTTTTGTGGGATTGTTATTCCTTAAGGGAGGTAAAATTTCAAAATGAAACAGTCAATTTACTTTAAATTTTATTCTGTGAAGGACTTTGAGACATTTCAATGTTATAATAAGGCGCTGTATGTACCAAATGCAAGTATCATTACTTCACAATTTCAAATGTCCTCCAATACTTTCTCTCTACTTAGAACTATAGAGGATATCCCTTTTTCCTTCACAATCCGATAAAGATTGATGAATATATGTTCCGAAGCAGTGTGCAATGCAGACTGATCTGTTCTTGGTGTACTGTAAAAGTAGTGATTGATATATATTTAAACTTTTAGTGTGTGGGTCTCTCTCTTTCTCTCTCTCTCTCGACTTGATGGAAAAAGCCACTGAGGAATGACTATGAAATGAACTAACAGCCTGAGAATCGAGGCTAGCATTTTTTGTCATTGCTCAATACATAAGTGGCTTTTTGTCACATCATCAATACAGCCTACATTACTATGCATTAACCTCTGGCACGGATAAGCCTTGTGGAAACACTACTTGATATCCATTATGGATCCAGCAATATTGTTCCGCGATCGTGAAGCGAGATGTAATCTGAACTGAGGTTCAACAGTTTTCTGAAATCGCAACTTGTTGGCGTAAAACACAAGCTGTTTACTTTTTTTGTACGAGATTTGGGATTTGGGTAGAATCCCTTGAACACTTTCATTCTCTCTTTCCCCGCCTGCCCTCCTCCCACGATTTCCCCCCCCCAAGGAGCAAGAGTGGGTGTAGTTCATATATAATAATAATAATAACAACATAACAATCCTACTACAATTGACCTCGCAGGACAGGCAGCTTCTTATCGATGTGGATTATCCTCAAATTGGGTTGCAAAATGGGTACCTGAGTGACATCATCAGCAATAACACCGTCTTTCAGGAAGAATTGGGTCATGACGTCAGGGTCCAGCTGCTTCATTAAGATTTCCAGAGTTTGGTCAGGCTGTCGGATGCCACAGCCCTCGTTGACATCCAGTGTGTACAGATACCTGGGGGATCATTAAACACATAATATGATAATAATAATAATCCTTACATTTGATACAGCGTCTTATCACGTCGTCGAGACGTCTCAAAGCGCTTCACAGAATATACTGTAGAGTGAATTGACTGGATATTTTGTGAGTGAAACGCGGGAGCCAACTGCGCACTGCAGCGTCCCCACAAACAGCCGTGGATTGAGTGACCAAATCATTGTTATTTTTATTTATTGATTGATTTATTTGAAGGGATTATTACCCATGGAAAGCGACCCACCAAATGACAAACAACAGAGACTTGCCTCAGGTTTTGTTCTGCCCAGGGCACGTACAATTCACACAAATCTGCAAGGAGGGAAGAGGGCGTGTGTTTCATCCAGCGTCCCTCGAAATGATTCACTCACACCACAAACTGTTACTTTCCACTTGCAAATAATGGACTCCTTTTAAGAAATCAATCTCACAATGGTCAAGGAACCTTGAAGCTTTTTCAGCTCTCATATGTGTTTTTTTTGTGCTTGTGCAAAGGACTCTTTCTGGACTTTCTAACCTACAAAAGATGAAATCGGGCTTTATCTCCCGACCTTGGTTTTGCCTCTGCTTTGTGAATTGAGAGTAGGTCTCAGCTTGAATTCCCACTCCGGGACAAGAAGACCACAGCAAATTCTCTCTACTTCCTGGTGTCTCCCTGTCCTCTCCTCGTTCCTGTACCCGGAGAAGAGACTTCTCTCTCTCGGGAGTAGGAAAGCACACCGCGCCTGTTGGGCCTCACTATGCCTTGGAGACCCTTGTGGTTTCTGAACGTCCTCGCTTCTGGCTGAAGAGCATTGAAGGACGTCTCGATGACGTGATAAGGCAATATATCAAATGCATGGGTTATTAACATTATTACTAAGGTGGCAGTTGGTTGCGCTCTCACCTCTTGCGTGTTGATTTAAAAAATAAGACCAAGAGAGAGAACTGAAGTGAAACCAGGACCAGGAGAAGCGGAGTTTTATGCTTATTGAAACTTCATGCGTATTTATTTCCGTGGGCTCAAGTTAATGTTGCAGCAGTGAAGTCACGGGTGATAACCTGAGGCAGCTTAATTACTGTCATTTTCACCAGCTCGGTGCGTAGGTCGAAAACTGTCTCACCTGGAGACTGGAGTCTCTCTCTGGACTGAGTTGCCGGCACTCCCAAGGGTTAACCCAAACGCCACAGAAGGAGCTTAAATGTGGGGGTGGTAAATGGCCCGTGGATATTTTTTTTACTGGAGCAGACTGTTGTGCCTGCCATTTAGGCAGCCCTGATTAGGCTTAAGTCGTGTTTAATTAATATATATTTGCACTGTTATGTGCTGTGCATGCATAATGTGCAAAAGTAGCACAGGCGCACGTCAAGTCCACAGCCACATCATTTGCCTCGATAGGGATGGGTGGGTGTGTGGTTGGGGAGGGGGGGTTCCTGCTCGCAGTGTCAAAGCCTGGCTTGGTCGGTAACACTCTCGTCTCTGAGTCAGAAGGTCGTGCGTTCAAGCCCCACGTCGGGACGTTAAGCTCACAGGTGCCGTCCTTCAGGTGAACTGTTGCAATACAATAACATTTATTAAACATTTATTTATTAACATTTTCAAACCTTAGGCAAGTTTCCTTATTCCACACGCCTAACAATAATCCCTCCAAAATAATAATCCCTCCAAAAACAAAACAATAATAAAAATTGGTCATTTTCAATCCACGACTGTTTGTGGGGACGCTGCTGTGCGCAATTGGCTGCCGCGTTTCGCCCACAAATATACGGTCAATTCACTTTACAGTATGTTCTGTGAAGTGCTTTGAGACATCTCAATGATGTGATGAAGCGCTGTATCAAATGCAAGGATTATTATTATTATTACTATTATTTTGTAGCGCTTCACATTGCCCGAGAGTGGGAGCTGAAGAGAGTTGGCGGGGTAAGGGGCGGGGAGGGGGGGGGTAAAGATGACCAAAAGTGTGGTCAAAGAGGCAAGTCATGAGATGGGCTAAAACCCCAGGGAGGGAGGGAGGGAGGGAGGGAGGGAGGATGTTTACGAGCATAGATCGCTCTATGTGGCTCATTTGCAAACACTGTATTGCCCGCCAAAGTCTTATTGCGTCTTACCATTACTAGCTACCCAGTGCTTCAACCCTAATCATTCCCAGTTCAACATACCAGCAATCTGAATTAATGCGTCCCATACAGTAAGCCACGCCATCTGAAACGGAAACAAAAGAAGGGCGGGAAAACTCTAGATTTCTGTCTTTTTCCATTGTAGAACCCAACAGCACAGAACAAGGCCATTCGGCCCATCGTGCTTGTGCTGGTTCTTTGCGAGAGCTATTTAATTAGTCCCACATCCCCTGCTCTATCCCCATAGCCTTGCAGGTTTTTTTTTCTTTTCAAGTAAATGTCCAGTTCCCTTTTGAAAGTTATTATTGGATGTGCTTTCATCTCCTCATTTCCCCTCTGCTCCTTTTGCCGGTTATCTTGAACCCGTGTCCTAAACGTAAGCTATAAAAGTGCAGGACTTTTTTTTCGGGGGGTGGGGAGAGAATCCACTTACTTGGAAACAACTTGTCCAGAAACTCCACTTCCTCCTCAAAGCTCCTGTGAGGGAATTCCTGGCTTCTTGGTTTGATAAAGTTTTTCCGAGAATAAAAGATATCCTGGTGAGGAGGGGGGGAGGGAGGAGAAAGAAAGGGACAAAGTAAAATCACTGCCTGCGTCCACTGCTTATCACCTGCTTCTGTGAGTTGTACTCCCCACCCCACCCTCTCCCCCGCCCTTTTTGTTGTGTCTGGTTGACGAGGTTAGCCTCCGCCCGGCTCGGAGTTAGGCTCTGCCACTGTTAAGCGCTCTGAGACGCTACCCCATGCGAAGGGAATGCAAGTTGTTGTTGTTAATGCAAGTTGTTGTTGTTGATGCCATCCCCTTACATGGCTGTCAATCACAAGAGTATGTCAGTTGCTTTGTGTGTTGTGTGTGTGTTTGTGTTGTTGTGATTGTGTGTGGGTGTGTGGGTGTGTGTGGGTGGGTGGGGGTGAATTGGGTTGAAGCTTGATGCATCCAATTCATCCTTCGCTCTCTTTCACCCCACCCACACACCCCCGCCCCCCACCTTCCCCTCACACAACTAGTTGCTTTTAACCTTGGCACAAAAGTGCGTCTTCAATTTTTCTGCATTGCTCTTTCAAAGACGCTTCCCATCAGCTGATTTTCTCTCTCTCTCTCTCTCTCTGCCATTGTTTTCAGCCGCATTTCTGTCCTCAAACCAAAGCCTGTTTTATTCTGAAGGTTTATGTAACAATAGGAACCACTTTGGCTGCCACGATTGTGTTTATAATAATAATAATAATAATCCTTGCATTTGATATAGCGCTCTTCACGTCTTCTAGACGTCCCAAAGCGCTTCACAGAATAGACTGTAAAGTGAACTGACGGTATATTTGTGGGCGAACGCAGCAGTCAATTGCGCACAGCAATGTCCCACAAACAGTCGTGGATTGAAAATGACCAATTTATTATTGTGTTTGCGCCTGACAAACACAGAAGTGTTCCTCTTAGCTCCTTTGTATTTTCCCCCCTCTCTCCCCCACACCCCCACCCCCCCCTCCCCACCCCTTCATCAACACCAACACTAAATGCCCGACCTCCAGCCCTGATCTCTCTGCTGTCAAACACTGCTGTGGGGTTAGTTGGCTCAACATTGATTACGCGCAAGTAACGCTAAATATAACTGTGTAAATGGGCTGCTATAATAGGTGCAACTTTATATCTTGTTTTGAAATGGATTGCTCTCCCCCAAAACGAGGGGCTGCATCGCGGGAGACGGCGCTGTACGTAATGTCAAGGTGTATTGTCATGGTGTTGTGTTGTGGAGAGGGAGGGAAGCCAGCTGTAGCGGCCAGTGATGAGACATTTCATCTAGATCCTAACCCTTGTGTTTCACGCAGGGCCTTGTCACGTCCCAGAGACGTCTCAGAGTGCCTCGCACGTCTTTACTGTGAAGTGTAGTGACTGTATTTTGTAGGCACAACAACAACTTGCACTTCTATAGCGCCCTCCACGCGATGCAGCGTCCCAGAGAGTTGAGACACAGACAACAGAAGTGAATGACTGGGGATTGTTGGCCAGGACTCTGGGAGTAACTCCCTTCTCTTTTCAAACAGTGCCATGGGATCTTTATGCCTAAATGCTTATTTAAAAGCACATGAGCTTCCTAAAAACCTCTGTTAAAACGTACTTGTGTTTTGTATTTTCCGCCTGTGCGTTAATCCGTAACAACTGCGAATTTAATATGCATTCAATTACGCTATTTCCCTGATCTAAGCTCTAGTGTTGTGGATTTGCTGTAAAGCTGTAACCGGCACAAGCCGCTAATCGCTACAAATGTCAAGGTTTTTCAACAAAGTAAGGAAATATTTTTATTCCTTTGCTGCCCTGAAGGGAACTCCATTGAATCGCCCGGCTCCGAAACCTTTAGAATTCATTGTGTTTTAAGTAACTGTGGAAGCTGGAACAAAAAGTCAATCCCATTCCCCCAGTCGCCTCATTTCCTCCCGCTGTAGCAGCTCCCAGGAACGCCTCGTCAGTTAAAAATTGTATTGTCCTGTTTCTACAGACCGCCCAAGTTACCACAGACTGAAGTCTGGTAGCTCAGTGGCTAGAGCACTCGCCTCGCAAGCGAGAGACATGGGTTCGATTCCCGGCAGGGCAAATTGATATACCGTTGCCTAAATTAAAATTAAATTTAAAAAGGACTTTCTGCCGTAGTTTCTCTGCAACTGGCCAGATGCAGGAGACTCTCTCACACTTATCAGTTTGGCAACTGCCCGACTGAATGGACTCACACCAAAACACTCCATCTTGAGGACACGGCAAGTCAGAGAATCTGTACCTTAGGGGTTAGAGCACTCGCCTAGCAAGTGGGAGGACTTGGCTTCAATTCCCCAGCAGGGAGAAACGTTAGATAAATTTCTTTACTCCAAACGCCTCTGTTTACCCAGCAGTAAGTAGGAACCCGGTTGTCAGTCAGTTGGCGGATCGCTTTTCTGGGGGTAATAATCCCTTCAAAAAAATATAATAATAATAAATTGGTCACTTCAATGTGGGACACTGCTGTGCGTAATTGGCTGCTGCGTTTCGTCCACAAAATATACAGTCAATTCGCTTTACGGTATATCCTGTGAAGGACTTTGAGACGTCTCGAAGACATGGTAAGGCGCTGTATCAAATGCAAGGATTATTATTATTATCGTCATCATAGACTGTCCCCACGCCCCCTGTCTATTGCCAGCTCCCTACCTCAATGGTGTCAAAGCCACAGTATTTCTGCGCGAGTTCCAGAAGGGGTCCCATCGCTTGCAGTAAGAGGGTGGTCCCGCATGTCTTCAGAATGTAACGTCGCTTAGAGACAAACATGCTGCTCTCGCTGTGAAGAAACCACATCACGTCAGGCTGAGATTACCCCCGCGCTAGGAAAACTGACACAAATATCTCACCGAGTTTTGAAAGAGTTGGATTTTCCTCTGGTGCCAGTTCATATTTTGCTTTCAGTAAAGCTAATAACATTCATCCTACCAACATTCTTGCCCTAATTTTATTTTTAAGAAACACTTCAGCTTTCTTCCCTGATTTCCGCAATACTGCACTGAACTGGTGACTGGATGGTGCCTGGGAGTGACTGCTAATAAGCAACTAAAGGAAAAAAAAAGTAACGCATTTAGGAGAAACCCTGATAATATAATAATAATCCTTGCATTTGATACAGCGCCTTATCACGACGTCGAGACGTCTCAAAGGGCTTCGTGGAATTTACCGTAAAGTGAATTGACTGTATATTTGGTGGGCAAAACTACACACTTCGATGCAGACACAAGATGTGGAGGCTCATGTGAAGTAATAAACCCCGGCACAGACGGATTGGGCCAAATGTCCTGCTCTGTGTAATTCTAGGAATGTGCGTGTTTCTTTTGTAGACACTGTGTACGTGCATCACTCCATGAGTCCTACCATCCACTGTCCTCTGCAATCAGTAAGCTGCTTTGATGGGTGTCAACTGAGGTTGAATGTAATTTTCCCAGTATCACCCAGTTGTACAAAAGGAGCACAAATTGATGACTTCTGTGTACTGACTCCCTCCCCACCCCCTCACCAAGCGCTTTGGGATGTCTAGAAGACGTGAAAAGCGCTATATCAAATGCAAGGATTATTATTATTATTATTATTATTATCACCCATTATTGGCGTATGAGGTTAAAATGGACGCTCAGAATACAAAAGATATGTTGATCGCCCATTCGTGTACATTTTTTTGAGTGGGAAATTGTTACGTTTTAAAATTGCAATACAATTTCCATTGATAATCAGCAACTCCCAAATAACATTGGTCACTCAATCCTTAGCTGTTATTGCGCGACTGGCTGCTGCGTTTCACCCACAAAATACACAGTCACTCCACTTTACAGTAAATCCTGTGAAGCGCTTTGAAACGTCTCAATGACCTGATAAGGCGCTATATCAAATACAAGGATTATTATTATTATTATAGTGCCTTGCGCATCAGTAGGACGTCCCAAAGCATTTGCTGATTGGTTACCCCATCTGAGGGAGTGGGGGGGGGGGGGCTGAAGGCAATGGGGGTGTGGGGGGGAGAAGATGACCAAAAGCCCGGTCGAAGAGGCACATCTCCTTGTTGTCTGTTGCTGCAGTGCTCCACTGACCTCGCTTAACTGAGGGTAATAATATGATTTCTTTTCAGTTTAATTTGCTTGTATAATTTTTATTAAGATTCATCTGCACTGACTGCCACAGTTTGCCTGGGGTTGTGGAAAATCTATACACTTTCATTTCCATCCTTTTATCCTAAGAGTTCACTTCATTTCACAGGAATGATCTGGACTCGAATAAATCATTCGAGGTGTTGGAAATAAAGCGATGAATTCTCCTGTTAATTAAGATCTCTCAAGTCCCCGCACATCAGCCCCCACCTCCCTCTGTGATTCTTTGTTGTTCCTTTCTTTGGAGATAACGGCCCGTGTCCCCATTTTGGGTGATGTTTGTCTCCCAGCTTTTTTTTGCTCCGTCTTCGTGCAGTACAGCTTTCATCTTGCACTGCCTGACTGTGCTGTCCTGGTATAAACCCCACAATCAACAGCAAAAGTGCCAAAATAATTGGGTCCTATTTTGGAGAGGCTGACATAAATACACACACACACATACACAAACCCTGCATCCACGTAACTTTTCTTATTGAGTTCGGTCACTATTCGCTTGGTTTTGCCCACAAAATATACAGTCAATTCATTTTACGGTATGTCCCGTGAGACGTCTCGAAGACGTGATAAGGCGCTGTATCAAATGCAAGGATTATTATTATTTTTATTATTATCGTCATGAAATCTTTGTCACGGACATTTCATCCCCATCTTCTTCCCACCTTCTCTCTCCTCCCTATGCCTCCACCTTCCAGGACTTATTCATTTATTATTATTTATTATTATTATGATCTCTAATCCTAATGCACCTAAACACTGCAACACATCCAGAAGCATCGGAACCCAATGAATTAAAATCTGTGCATTTTATCAGTAATTAATTCTACAGGAAAGTGATAGCCATTTTATTAATTAATTGCGATAAAGTTAATTTTGAACACTGAAGGGAATCTGTAGTCATAATTAGCTGCACTGTGATCAGTTAATACTGTATAATGGTTTTCATTTTCACTTGTAATTAGTGATATTTTTAAGAAAAAGGATTTCCAGAGTGGGATAATACTGGAATCAAGCTTGTTTGTTTTTAAATCGTCTTAAGTCCTGTCACTTGAACCATGATAGGTTCCCACAATAAGGGAGCTAATTCATTTTTGCAAGAGAACCATTGCTGACGCACTCCAAGGGAATTAGCATCCAATTAACTATATTGTTCTTATCTCTTCATTATAAAAGTGATTGCACCCATTGTGTGAGGAACATCTGTATATGAAACGTGTTGCCTTGAAAGAAACATCAAAGCAAGTACAGGGAACACTAGGGGTCCTGTCGCTCAGTGGTTAGACCGCTCGCCTCGCAAGCGAGAGACCTGGGTTCGATTCCCGGCAGGGCGTTGGGCTGTGGCGTTTCGCCAGCACTTGACGTGCCTTTTATTTCCGGCAGCAGTGAGGGAAAACAGGAATGGGTCCTTTTGTGGTGTTCACTCTGCGTTGGCTGATCCCTACAATGGCGATCGGTCGGTGTAGGACAGGCGTAAAACCTCGGGTCCTAAAATAGCCCAAACTATCACACGTACATTGCGCCCTTTGGCTGTCACGTTACCTGAGCACGTATGCATCTTGCCAGTCTGTTCTTGTCACGCTGATGATCAAACAGTGCACGTTCTTCAGCAGCTTGTCCCATTCAAACCTGTTGAAGTGCAAACCGTGACAGCATTTACTGACTGCAGCATTGAGCACCATTTCCACTTCGAGTATCTGTTCGGTTATTAAAATGTGTTGTGTGTCGTGTTGTGTGTGTTGTCTGTGTGTGTCGTGTGTGTTTGTGTCGTGTGTGTGTGTGTGTGTGTTTGTGTCGTGTGTGTGTGTCGTATGTGTGTGCGCGCATGTTGCGTGTGTGTGTCATGTGTGTGATACCGACTCTGTCACAGTTAAACGCTCTGAGATGCTGTCCCGCGTGAAAAGGGCGCTGTATAAATGCAAGTTCTTGTTGACAAAGACCGAATTTTATTAGTTGCTTAGCAATTCAGTTGCTAACGATCCAGCATCGAGTGGTAAACATGAACGACAACTGCAATTTCAATTGCAGGTGTGTGACTGGGTTACTCTAGCTTAACCGCGAAGCAGAAAGGTCCGTCCAGGCTCGGATATTATACCCAGTCTCTCTTGGGAGCAGAGCCACTTCTTGCCAACGTTAGTTCAGTTGACTGTAAATCATCTCCTCTTTCCTCTCTCTGCCGAGTCCTTTCTGAAACCAATGCCAATAATTCCGTGAGCAGCAATGGTCAGGTTCTCACTGACACCAGGGATGGATTCCAAAGCAATGTGTTGCTTTATCTCGCCTGAGCACACACCTGCTGCGCTGGTCTGGAGCAGTGGCGGTCAACCTCTTATTTATAATATCTTCAATTTAAGTCAAATCACGTGTATTCCACATGATGCACGTCTTGCCATTTGCTATAAAACCTGCTCGCCCATCACGCAGGTAACTTGGGCTCCTAATTTTGCCCTCCATTCCTGACGATAGTACCTCATGCTGTGGTACAGTTCCATGGGTAACAAAAGCCTCTCAACATGATTCTTAATGGATGGTGAGTGAGTGTTTACACGTGGGACATAATATTCTTTTTATTTAACCGAGCAGCTTAAACATCCAAAGAGCTCAATGACCTTTGAAGTATTACTGTTACGTGCAGAGACTGTGCATTTGTAGGCAAGCCAATTTGCGCAGAGCAATGTCTCACAAACGGCCATTGATGTAAGTGACCAATTGTATCTGGAAAAGGATATCAGGAGCAACTCCCTTCTCTTTTCAAATAGTGCCAGGGAATCTTTAAAGCCCACCGAACTGGCAGATGGGACATGTCAGTTCAATGTCTCAGCCAAAGGGCAGCACCTCAAGAAAGGGCAATGCTCCCCCTAGCACCGCAATGAAATGTCAACCCAGACTATCAGCAAAAAGTCCTCATTGTGGGGCAAATTTTAAAAAAAATGATTGCTGCATATTTAACGGTGCAATACTGACAATAAAGAGTGAAATAGGGCTGTCATTTTTTTTTTCCAGATTAATTTTGTTAATAGGATGCATTACTCATAACATCTTCCACTTCAAGGGAACAATGGCTTTCATTTAATTTTTGCCGTGCTTGCCAAGACATAACTACGGGCTCTAGGCATCCAGTCTCGGACTTAAAATTAATACAGTACAAGCTATTCTGCTTTCTTTTCTCACACACACACACACACGGACACTCACTCTCTCTCTCCGTCTCTCTCTTTCACAGCAACTTTGTGTTGGCGAGGCCCAAGTAAATGTTCCCTTTCAATAATACACTTTGTTCCCAATTACAACAGTGCTTAAACATCAGTTTCAAATTACCAATAGGAGTCTGTCGGCTGCTAATCTGCTCTGGATGTTTTAATGAATCTGCAATGCAGGTCTGGCTATTAATTTTACACTGGTGTACTTGCATTAAGAGCGCCTCACGTGCACAGTAAAGCAGGTTACTCTCAACCAGCTAAATATAAAGGTGGCGTAATCCTCTTCCATGCAGTATATGTGCTGATACCAGGCATCTGTTCCTGCTACGAAAGGTTTTATTTCAAAACGCTTATTTTACATCCGTCAAGACCGATTTTGACTTAATATAGTTTGATCTTTTTCCTACTGGAAATCTCTCATTTCCAAGCAATTGTGCCGTGTCAGTTTTAAAATGTTTATTTCAAATCCTTCCATTTTAATTCCCTGGCTAAATAGGAACAGGAGGAGGCCATTCAGTCCCTCAAGTCTGTTCCGCCCTTCTATTAGATCATGGCTGATCTGTACCTCAACTCCAATTAACCACCTTTGCCCCATGTCCCTTGATATCCTGACCTAACAAATATCTATCCACCTCAGTCTTGAAAATTTGAATGGATCCTGGCCATAATCCACAGCCTTTTGGGGAGAGATTTCCACTACCTTTTGCGGGAAAAATGTCTCAACCAAACTCATCACCGTTCACATTAAATAACATGTACACACCGCCCTTCAAAGAGTAGTCAAGTAACAGGCGTTATTTCAAAACGCAAAGATTATTATTACAGTATTATAAAATTCTGCTTTGAAGACGCGATAAGGGGACTGTCTCAAATTCAAGGAATAGTATTTATTAGAATATCAGGAAAGGATGGGAAGGGTGTGGGAGGTATTTAAAGAGATTTACGCCAACCCAAACAGTGAAGGAATAATGCAGCTTCCTCAAAGTGACATTCGAACAATGTCAGGTTGAAGTTGATGAATTGTTTAGTGGGGTGGGGGGACGGGGGAACGGGGGGTTAAAAGAATCTCAGGAAATGAGTCGTCAAAAGGGGCTGGAGCCCCGACCCAGAGGAGGGTGATCGATCCTATTAATTACTGGATAATCGATAAAAGGCAACTCAACTCACACAGCAACCTATAAGTGGTTTCTCTCTCTCAACACAATGTTTGGACAGAGGTATACAGCAGAGCCGCACTGATAAACTCAAGCGATATTAATAATAATAAGAAGACTTGCATTTGATACAGCGCCTTCTCACGTCATTGGGACGTCTCAAAGCGCTTCGCAGAATAACCTGTAAAGTGGAGTGACCGTGTATTTTGTGGGCGAAAACATAAAGAAAAGCGATCAAGAAAGAGAGAGAGAGAGAGAGATTCTCGGCTACGCCTCTTAAAGAAGTAGCTCCTGGAACCTTACAAATCAAATCTGTGGCATAAAAATGCTTTCCCCTTCAACGCAACCGAACAACTTCAGCAATTGTTTAAAGGGACCAACCAGACAAGACAGCCAGACAGCCAGACAGCAGACACACACACACATACATACATTACATACATACATACATACATACATGGCACAGACCAACACATTGCAGGATTTTAAATAGCTCGAATCTTCTGCCCTGTTTCACTGCTACAAACGCAGACAAATTGCCACAGTTCGAGACATAGAGGTTGCAAAATACTATTCAGCAATGAAATACAGCTGTGAGTGTGTGTATATGTGTGTGTGTGTGTTTGTGTATATGTGTGTGTGTTTGTGTATGTGTGTATATGTGTGTGTGTGTTTGTGTATATGTGTGTGTGTGTGTGTTTGTGTATATGTGTGTGTGTTTGTGTATGTGTGTATATGTGTGTGTGTATGTGTGTGTGTGTATATGTGTATGTGTGTGTGTACATGTGTGTGTGTTTGTGTATATGTGTTTGTGTGTGTTTGTGTATGTGTGTGTATGTGTGTGTATATGTGTATGTGTGTGTGTACATGTGTGTGTGTTTGTGTATATGTGTTTGTGTGTGTGTTTGTGTATGTGTTTGTGTGTGTGTGTATATGTGTGTGTTTTTCACTCATTGCTGATATATTGTGTGGATTTAAAGCCCCTTTTCTGCAGCAATTCACATCCAGAAGTTGATTCCCTTTAAACCCCCTTTGCCACTTGTTAGTGTCCCCCTCTCCCCCTCTCCCCCACCCCCCAATTTGGCTGTTTGACACTCAAATTCTAATAGCGATGGTGGAGAAGGTTCAGAGCAAAGCGAAGGTTAGTGTTGTTAAAGCAGCGAATCCTTCGCATTTTATCCAAGTGGTGCGTCTGTGTGTATCTGTGTCTGTGTGTGTGTATCTGTCTGTGTGTGTGTCTGAGTGTGTGTGTATCTGTCTGTGTGTGTGTGTGTCTGTGTATGTGTCTGAGTGTGTGTGTATCTGTGTATGTGTCTGTCTGTGTGTGTATCTGTGTGTGTGTGTGTGTCTGTGTGTATCTCTGTGTCTGTGTGTGTGTCTGTGTGTGTATATCTGTTTGTGTGTGTGTATCTGTGTGTGTGTGTGTCTCTGTCTGTGTATCTGTCTGTATGTGTATCTGTGTATGTATGTGTATCTGTGTATGTATGTGTGTGTCTGTGTGTGTATATCTGTGAGTGTGTGTGTGTATCTGTGTGTGTACCTGTTAGTGTGTGTGTTTGTTTCTGTGTGTGTATCTGTTTGTGTGTGTCTGTGTGTATGTGTGTGTGTCTGTATCTGTCTGTGTATGTGTATGTATGTGTCTGTGTGTGTGTATCTGTGTGCATCTGTGAGTGTGTGTCTGTGTGTGTATCTGTATGTATCTGTGTGTGTGTATCTGTGTGTATCTGTGTGTGTGTGTATATACAGTGTATATATGAATGTCTATTCCCTAATGGATCACTGTTGGCTGTTTTTTTTTGCCTTCAGCTCTCTCTGTATCTCTCTCTATCTCTCTCTCTCTTACCTGGGGATAGTGCGAAGGTCTTCTGTTCCTCTCTTCTCGTCTTTGCGTGAGAACCACAGCTCAAGCAGTTTCTCAGTACCTTCAAAAAAGTGGGCAGCCTCCTCCATCACGACTTATTATTATTATTCTTTTTTGGGTGGTGGGGTTTGGTGGTAGTGGGGGTGTAATTCTCCTTTTCAAGGTAATTTACAAGTTCCTGATTTGTTTCTTGCAGAGTTAATTTTGGTTAAGTTTTAAAAAAAAATCTCTTTTTAATATATATATATATGTGTGTGTGTGTGTATATATGTGTGTGCGTGTAATAAAAAATATGCTGATGTATGAATGGTGCAGGAGGTTTTGCTAGCTGATGTCTCCTGCCATGCTGGGAGCTCAGCAGCTGTAAAGTGACAGACTGGTGTGTGTGTGTGTATGTGTGTATGGTGTGTGTGTGTGTGTGTGTGTATTTTTGAGCTATGTAGATTTCAGATGGTTGTCGAACGTATTCTGGGAGTTGTAGTCCAGCATTGGTTATACTTATGCCAAGAAGAATCCTTTCATTTGATACGTCGCCTCATCGCGTCTTCGAAACGTCTCAAAGCGTCCCACAGAAATATTCCGCAAAGCGAATTAACTGTACTTTGTGGGCGAACCGTGGCAGCCCAATTGCGCACAGCAGCGTCCCACAAACAAGCAGTGGTGGATTGACTTTCAGCAAGTAACTAAGAAGGGAGGACCCTTTTTGAAGGTTTTGCCTCGGTGTGTTGTTTGGAGCGCTCAACTGGCAAACGAGAGGACACAGATTGGATTCCCGGGCAGGGCGAAACCTTAGGCAAGTTTGCTTACTCCACACGCCTGTTTACTTAGCAGTAAATAGGAACCCGGTTGTCAGTCGATCGGTGGATTGCTTTCTGTGAGTAATAATCCCTTTACAAATAATAATAAATTGGTCATTCAATCCACAAGTATGGGCAATTGGCTGCCACATTTCTCCCACAAAATATATAGTCAATTTACTTTACAGTTTATTCCGTGAGGTGCTTTAAGACATCTCTACGACGTGATAAGGTGCTATATTAAATACAAGGATTATTATTATTATTATTATCGGAGAATTGTGGCAGAAGACATTGCTCGGAGCTGGGGAAAGTTCTCAGCACAGAGTAAGCAGAGAGCATTACAGTCGTATTCATTAAAAACATATCCTCAGTAAATTTCCAGTGTGCAGTAGGGCCAGTAGCGTCTGGAAACATAAAGGGAATATAATAATAAGTGGCTCTTCAGGGCTCTCACAATTAGAAGAGAGCATTTTCTTTCAAGTGCTACTTTACTATCGGCTGATGTGCCTCACCAGAGTGCACTTCTAAAGACATTCATTCAGTTGAATGGAACTTTCTATTCATTCAGCGATGATTTGCTTCAAGAGGATGTGAAGAAGCACATAACGAGGCTTAAGCCAACATTAAACTGCTTTGTAATTAGGCTTTGGTGAAACGTGGCCTTTTTTTTTAATGTTATCCCGCGATTTATGTGTGTTTGTTTTATAAACTCACCGCAGAAACTGATCTGAGGCTGGACCGTCACACATCTCGCAAAGGGTTGTTATTAAAATAATAAGACTATTAAATTTGCGGAGGGAGTTTTTTTTTGGGGGGGCCGTCGGAAGTTGTTGAGGATCACTTGCTCGTCAGTTCTGTTGCGGACTCAAAGTCCACTCACAGACGTTCCAAAGGTAATTAACAAGCTCTCTAACTACTGTATGTATTTTCTCCGCCAACGCTGTTGCCATGGCTCCCATTGCAGATGGTGGCGGCTCACTCACCACCTGTCACTGTGACATGTAAATTGGTGTTGAGATAAGCTAAGGGTGTATTTGCACAGAGGGATGCTTTGGTTGCCTGCCTATGTCTGTTTATTTAAGGGATGAGGCCACTAGAAGGTTTGCTGATAGGTTTAGTTGAGGAAGGACAGGAGGAGGCTCATGTGGAGCATAAATGCTGGCATAGACCAGTTGGGCCGAATGGCCTGTTTCCGTGCTGTATACTCTATGTAATTCTGTATAATTTCCATCCCCAGTAGTCTGCACTTGACTGCCGGCCAAATACACTGAAATTGGTTTGCCCTTGGATTTGGTTCTTGGTGCTGCTATCTGCTGTTAGACTACCAGCGATCAGATGACCTCTTCAGGAGTGTCAATGAAACAGACTCCTTCCCCCTGCACCCCAACAAGACAACAGGATAACAATACAATACAAAATGACATTCGTATGGTGCCTTTCATGTCGAGAGGATGTCCCAAGGTACTGGATAGTTAGGGATTTGTAGCAGAGCACGGGTTGGGATCAGGGGAGGGTGGAGGGCAGGGGAGATAGGATGGTGGCCAAAGGCGCGGTCGAAGAGGAGGGTCATGAGACATGCCTTGAAGGAGGCAAGGGAGGGAGGGAGGGAGTCAGGTGAAGGGAATGTGGGATGGAGTTCCAAAGGGTGGGGGCAGAGAGGCTGAAGGCCCGACTGCCGATGGAATGTATTAAAAGTAGTTTGCCACGCACCTATCATTAGAAAAGGTAACTACTTGTGTTTGATCAAGCGTCTTCTTAAGTAGAAATGTCTCAAAGCGCTTTACACAAAGAGTTACTTTGCAAAGAGGGCAGTGAATCTTGAGCAGCCGATTCCGAGAACCAGCAGCGAGATGATTGATCAATTTGGGGGAGAGTGGCGGAGGGAGGAATGTTGGTCAGGATCCTTGGAGAACAGTATCAATTTCTTAGAAATAGGACCACGGGATCCTTAACATCCACCGCGACAAATAAGGGGACTGAAACTGATTTAAACCTTCTCATCTGACGGGCAACGCCATCAGCAACATTCTCTGTTTGCACTGGGAGTGCGAGCTCCAGCCCTGATGAGGGGGGCTTTTGAACCCCGAAATTGTCCGACCCAGAGGCGAGAGGGTTATATCTCGTGAACCAAACTGACGATGTAATTGTTCTCAAAACGCCTGGCTGGACACCCTTAAAATGAAGAGTCACGCTATACTCTAGTAAGTCGGATCAGCTGACACTTATTGGCTAAGAACACAGTCATGCAAAAACAGTAAAACAAAGCTAATATTTCTTCTTTTTTCGGTGCGTTACAGAGCTGCCTTTGATTTTGTGTTCTTTGTAGTAATGCAAACAATGAGACCACTCTAAATGGTGTTCCATTTTTTACGAGTTCTTTTTCAGGCCTGAACCCTGGAGCCAACTGATCTTTTCAGCGGCCCTTCAGATTCCTAAAACGATTCTTTTTCACTTCTGGGACTTTCATTCATCGCCGATAGTGCTCTCGGCTGTTTCGTAATAACATTTATTTTAATGCAGCAGCTTAGCAGTGCGAACCCAATGTTGCCAGCCCCCAGAGTGTAGAAATCATGAGACGAGACTGGGGGGGAGAGGGGGGAAATCAGTTGCTCCGGACAAAAAAAAATCATTTTCTCGATTTTCTTTTTGTTGCAGTAGTCGCACTTGATTTCCAGCTGATACTTGATCATGTTAAATTTCTCCTCTTAAATGTACTTCAGCTTGTGGGGATAATATACGGAGGTCTGGTACTCTATACATTGCCCCGATAACAAACATCGGCCACTGTTTGCTGAATCGTATAACGGGGAGCCTGCACGAGAACACAGAAATAAACAGATGAAAGCTCCCAACTGCCAGTTTATAACAATAATAATAATAATAATCCTTGTGTTTGATTTAGCACCTTGTCACATCGTTGAGACGTCTCAAAGGGCGTCATTTTGTATAAATGATGACCAGGAACAAAAAAAGTCCAGCCTTCCGCACTTGTGTTATCATTCCGCCACCGGTTCCCTGGCCACGAGGCAATGCAATTTCTGGACTATTTTCTCTCCCCCCCCCAAGCCACGGGGAGCAATGCTGAATTTCCCAATCAACAACAGCTGTTTCATCTTCGCCCACCTACACGCTACAGAAAATCGCACGCCACACAACAAGCATTCCCTTGGCAACTGCAAACTACCACCAGCGAACAGGGCAAATACAGGAGACTTGAGCAAAACCAATTAAAATGTTCCCTGAAGCCAATGCCACGATAACAAACGCACATTTCTTGACATCCAAGGCAGCCAATCTTGGGAGTTTTTTCTCGCTGTTAACATGCGGAATGTTGCCACCTTGTGGGAAGGAGGGCTTATCGGTGGCCAAAATGTTGCGTTTAAGGATGGCTGAGGTTGTCCCAAACTAATGCTTGAGTTGGAAATTGCAGAAGGTCAAATGGTGTTAAATGTTTGATCCTGGACTGGGTCACAAGTGACCTGGGCCCAGATATAAGGGAACCCACATTGAGGCTGGTCACAAAGCATTTATGTCCATCCTGGAGCAAATGTATGAGTCTGGCTCAGTTGGGAGCACACTCACCTCTGCGTCAGACGGTAGGGGATCACGTCCCATTGCTGTGCAAATCCATTGGTGCGTTCACCTCATAAAACCTAATCTAATTCTTGCATTTGGTATGGCACCTGGAGGACATCTCAAATTGCTTCTCAGGATTTATTCCACAAGTGCGATGGAGAAATGGTGTATTTGTAGGCAATCACGGCGGCCGATTTGCACACAACAATGTCCCACAAACAGCGGTGAAGTAAGTAAATGAACAATTCTATCAGCAGAGTACAAGGAGAAAATCTCTTCTCTTTTCAAATAGCGTCATGAGAACCTTAACGTCTACTCAAACAGGCAGATACTACCTTGGATAATGCAATAGGACATTAATGTAGTCTAGAAGTTCCAAGATTGATCTCACATTTTTCCGAGAGGTATATGTTGATCCAGCATCAAACAACCCCCCAGACATTGGGTATGGTAACTTGGAACATCTCCAAGTGATATTAAACTCCATAATGGGTTCCCAAAGCCCACTTAACTTTCTCACGTAGCAAAATTGTAATTTCACTTATTTTAGACACGTAAGAGATTTCCCCAGAGGCAAGGTATTAGTATGTGTGTGTTTTTTTGTTTGCCGATTTTTTTTCGGATATTGCTGTAAATCTGCTAATATTTCAATTAACGCAGCCTCTTAAGGGAGGTATGAACGGTGTCACAGTGGAAGAGAGGGAGGCTGTGTGCACAAAATACACATTTTCACTCTGATGAGGGCCTTTTTTTTTATTAGATTTTTTAATTTAAATCCTAGTTGCCTCAATGATTTCATTTATTGTTGAAATCAATTACGCACACAGAAAACAGTCAGAGCCTTGTAGAGCTCAGCCCTTTCAGGCCTGGAGAAAAATGGGAAAACTCATCTGCACCGTACGATATAAGACTATGTGATGAGTGGCCACTCCTTTCCCTCCTGGACAATCACAATCACATTATCTCACACGTTCCAGCGCTAACCCTTTGACTGCCAGAGGCTTCAGAGCAAATAACTTTCCTTGCAAGTTTGCAGCCTGGGTGCTGATAAGAAGATTAATGTTCCAGCGACAGACGCAACAAAATGCCAAGCTTACCTTTCTTACGTCTGCAATGCATTTCTTAATTATCTCGGGGGCATCATTACGGAGCAGAAGAATACGTTTCGCCCACAAAATACACAGTC